TAGTTTTAGGGAAATGCGAAGTTTAGCTCAGGATAGGAAAGAGTGGAGGTACGTGTCCAACCAGTCTTAGGACTGACGATCTTATGATGATGACCTAACAAATGCAATATCGACTCGCACACCGAAAGTTCCAAATGTTGGGCTTGAGAATGTGCTTCCAATCTTATTTTAGAAGCACTATAATTCAAGTCCATTCAGTGAACTCGTAATTGGATTTTGATGAACGAATTATTTTATAAAAGTGCTTTGTAATTTGTAATTCAAAGTGCTTAGGCATTGAAATGTTTGAACCTAATTGTTTTCGAAATAATTGATTCGAAAACATTGGATTTTAACAAGTAATTGCGGCTTCAAAGGCTAAATCACTTCAAGTAAGGGCTTTGGGCGTATGACTTGGAACTCTTTTGATGACGGCTTTGAGCAACTTTGTTCCACACCTATTAATGAGTTGCTTTTTACTGTTTTCACTTATAAATAATTAACGTCAAATTAATGCCAATAAAATTTACAAAAATCTCTATCAGCGTGAATTAACTATTTTGGATTTTCGAAGTTGTAATATTATTGTTGTTAATTTTTTGGTCATAAATAAATAAATAAGCCCCTCTTTACATTTTTGCTGTTACAAAAATAGTTTTAGAATTTTCTTAGTAATTCCTTTTATCACACATTAGGTATATTAGAAAAGTTCGTATAAAAAATCGCGCGGTTTTTTTATAATAGAAGTTATTTTTACAAGCGTTTCGATAACCGACATCCCCACTATACTCCTTACTCGTTATAAGCGAGTTCCACTGTATTTGAGAAGTTTCGATAGATAAACTTACCTGTTAAACCAATCACATACGGTCGTTTTGGTAAATTTAAATTTTGTTTCACAGGCTTTAATAACGTCCCAAGCAAACGCATACGTTGTGTATTAGAACTAATTTTCTTCTCTTCGTGAGGATTTTGAGCAGGTTCATCAATCAAATCAACTGCAACTAAATCCAGCAATGGTAAACCTTTACTCTTTCGAACTGCAACAGTTACGATATTACACCCTGATCATGTAAAATTGCAACCCTTTTAAACGATACCTTCGTTAACTTTTTCACCCCCCCTAATCGTTTCCTTGCTAACAACCAGAAGGTCAATTGTAGGATCGTGTTGGGTTGGTCCAAAAGGGTCCTCAATTGACACTACTGATATGTTCAGTTCTGGACAAATATCCTTCAGAAAATTTTCAACCGTACTCATTCTTGTTTCTAATGGTTCTATTAATTCCCAAAGAATCTTTGCTATAATATTAACGTTTTTATTATATATAGTTATTTTTCGTTTTATAGGAACATACACTTTATCATGTTCTCTTCTGTTACACCTACAGTTATTTTAGAATTTGATCTTAAAGCTGCTTCAGAAAGAAGAAGTTTATGCGCTAAATGAAGCCTATCAAAAGTTCCACCTAAAACTGTATGCTGGTAAACCTTATCATTTTTTTGTTCCAAATCTGCAGAAATGGGCTCAGCAGCAATGTTTGCGCAAGTCAGTATTTTATAATCCTTGCTGATATTTACAAGTTTGGTTGATAAAAACTTTTGTACTTCATCCGAAGCATATTTTTCATCAAAAATAACCAATTCCACTTCCCGTTCCGTATAAATTAACTTATTTTTGTATTTTAAACCCGATAGCAAAACCCGTACATCCAAATTTTGACAATGTTTAGCTGCCTGGAACGATAAATTAGTTTAACTATGTTATTATTCTATTAGGTTTAGTTTGTTTTTAGCCAAGATTAATTAATATCAATAGATCAGCTCAAAGTAATATTACATTAGCAAGTATATTTATACGTTTGGTGAGACCTGAGCCACTATATTAACTTTAAAGGTATCTATGATTCCTTGACACAAAAGAAGTAAATGTCAGTTGTCTATGGTGCCAGTGAACATAGATAAGAAAGTCAAACAAAAGTTATTAGGCATTAGAAAAAACACAATAATAATACCTACAATTCTACACGATAATTAAAAACAATTAAATGAATAAAATATAACTTATCTATTAAATAGCTATAGTAATCATCAAGATCCAAACTAGCCTGTAGCAAGTAAAAATAAGTGATAGAACTAACTTACCTGTGTATAAATGCCTTTTATTATATGGCTTAACTTTGGCCACGAAGAAAACATATTTGGATAGAAATTACCAAATGGTTCACGTAAAGCGTTCAAAACTTGTATGTATAATATACTTTCAATTTCATGTTTAATTTGAGGTAAAATAATTCCTAAACGGTTTGGATTTGAAGTCACCAATAGCCCTGTTTTTACGAGCATGCTAAATATGCAAAATTACTCCTAATAATAACAATAACACTTCTTTTATATAACTATGAAAAACTATTTCATGCAGAAAATATATATAATTGAGGTTATTTGATATACAGTTTGTGTTTATGTCAAACATATACGAGGCACAATCAAAAAATTAATTATATACAGGGTGTGTTCAGAAAACTATGAAGTCCATAATATGGGTAGATAGAAATTTACATGCTCCTATAACAAAATTCAAAGACATCTCTTAGTAAAAAAATACCTTATAACATTTTAGATTTGAGAAGTCAAATTAACTTTAGTTCGGTTCGGTTTGGTTATATTACTCAATTATACACGAAATGCAATCAGAAATGAGAGAATATCGAAACATATTTATTTTGTAACTTTTTGGCCTATAATGTAAGAATGTATAAAAAATTATTTTCTAATTACAATTTAAATAAATTAATTTAATTCGAATACACGAGCCACTTATCATTAAACAAAATATTATTGTAATTATTATTTCCATAACAGAACAACATTATGATCACGTTCTACTTGATCTTCTAGCTGTTGTGCAGTAATACCAGCAAAACAACACACTTCATCCATGCTAGAAACTCCAGACATAGACTTTTGTAGTTCAAGGGATTCCCCTAGATAAACGGGATACTTGTGAACTCTACGAATTAAACCTTCTAATACTCCAAATTGTACTAACTTGCGCTCATTTATTTTAAGCGAAGCTGGATTAAATCTTATACACAAATCTTTTATGGTGGTCCCTCTGGTCATTGCAGCATACATACGAAATACATCTTTTAAATTTGGTAACTGTCTGTATGTTCTTGCAACAAAATTTAGACATCTATTCTGTAAATAATATTTTAAAACAATACAATACTGTTCTTGTCATTAGGTTGGTTTAGGTTGGATGAGTTGTATAAACAGGATTAGGTTGAGTTAGGTCAAGCAGTATTACCTGCAAATTTACATCTTGAGTGAGCATCTTCAATTTTGGTGCAGTACAATAAACATTTCCATACTGAAAAAGTGGAATGAGAGCTACAGCTCCATAGTATACAAGATTTTGTACACAGGCTTTGACTAAATTATTTTCTACATCAGCTAATGATGCAATTCGGGCAATATGATTAAAGCCATCTATAAAAGGGGCAACCTGTTGGGTGGTTAAGTCCCACTGCTGTGTAGGCAATGATTTTATGAATATGGGGACCTGGTGGTCTGCAACTGGAGTGGGATTTGACCTAAGTTTTACAACTTTTAAATGAGTGGCAGTAGGGCCCTCAGTTAATGCACATTCACCTAAAAAGGTTTAATAAGTTACCCCTTGTTTTATACATATCTTAAAAGTCACCTTTATTATTTAGGTCTTCCAAAACCTGTTTTAAAATAGGAGTTAACTTAGTTGAACTGGAGCCTTCTGATAAAAAATTGCTTTCAATTTCCATTGCTACTAAATAGTCAGACAATTTCATCACCACAGGCTCATAATGAACTGTTCTTGAAGAACTATCACAGACAAAACATAAGTTAAAGTGATAAGCATTTCTTGCATACTTCTTATCATCTATTCTAACTGGAAATCCCAAAATTTTATGATCTGAGAGAGTCCTATAATTATTCATTTTTAAATAACAGTAAAGTACTTAGGTCAACATACGTACACAGTAATTGTACTTCTTAATAATTCCGCTTTAGTGATTATATACACACTGACACTATCAAATAATTCTTTGGAAATGTAATTGTCTGGATACTAAAAGCAAATTTTATTTGAATAGGTATTTATTTAATCATATTAATTAGTATGAATGCATATACTTTACCTGACAGGTGATTTTTGGCCCTACTGTAGGATGAAATTCGCATAGGAAAATACATCTTGTGGGTCCTTCTTTTTGGAAAGAGTCTTCTGAATCTTCTGCGTCGTCAAACAAATCCTTTACCACCAAATTTTCAATCGTTTCTGCCTTCATCGCGCAGTGACAAACTAACTGCTTTAATACAGTTTAAAAGAGATGATAAATCATAATTACTAATTATTTATTGTTATCCTTATTATTATCCTTCACTTTCACTTATCATCTGATTTGTTTTCTTTTCCATTAACTGTTTTCTAACCTTCAAATTATTAATTACATAACCTAATTGTTTCATCGTAATGATCGTGGTAAATAAATATTTCTTTTATTTGTAAGATGGACGTTTATGCTGCCAATTTGGTTTCAGAAAATGGTACTTGATGTTTAGTGTTGTAAATAATTGCATCTTAAAGTATTAATTTTCAGGGGAGTCATACATACCTGCTTCACAAAGGCCAGATGGAACCTGGAGAAAAGCTAGGCGAGTAAAAGAGGGTTACGTACCCCAAGAAGAAGTACCCCTTTATGAAAGCAAGGGAAAACAAATTGCAAATCGAAATTCTAAGCCCCAAACTATTACATTGCCTACAGGGGAAGTTGCTCGTCAAGCCATTCCAGGATTGTTTATTGTAGATGAAAAAGATAAAGAACAAAAATCTAAAAGCAAGAAAAAACCAAAATCATCTGCAAAGCAAAGTACAGGACATTTATTTGTAAAAGTAAAATATTGGTTTACCATGATGTATTTTAGGTAAAGAAGATATTATCAACAAACTTGAAAGGATTAAATTAAAAGAAGTTCCTAAAAGTGAAACTTCTGAAGCAAAAACCAAACAGAATAAGCAGAAAAAAGTTGAAGAAACTAAAGAAAACGAGGTTACACAAAATCAAAGTGTAGATCCTGGTAAAAGATTAAAAAATCTTAAAAAACGATTACGTGAAGTGGAAGCATTAGAAGAAAAACTAAAAAATGGTTCAATTGCAAAACCAGATCCTGATCAATTGAAAAAAGTAGAAAGGAAAAACGATATTCTTCTAGAAATAAGGCAACTAGAAAAACAGATTTGACTGAATTGACTTATTTTAATGATACCTTTTCAAAGAAAAGTTTTACACATTCGTTTAATTTAAGTAATTTTTTGGTAACTCTATTGTAATATTTGAACTCTGATGGTTAATGCAAGTACAAAAGGCTATTAGAATTTTCTTTTGTGCTTTTTTTTAAATCTTAAATATGGTAATTTATGAGCATAATTATATACACAAGTATGTAAATAGTTTCGATGGAAAAGCAAAATGTTACATTATTTGTAGCAATTAATATTTCATCAAAGTAATTGTAAGTACTATTTGTATAAATGTTAATCCTTTTATAGAAACATACTCCAATTTGTGCCCTCTGTGATGTTTTTATAATAGCATTTGTGCAGCATTTAATGTAGAGTATATTTGTGTGGACTGCCATGAAGTACTTTTCTTTATCATAATTTAAGGGCTCATCTGTTTATTCCACAAATACACCCAATCCTGTTTTTCGCATGGTAGATACCGAAGCTAGTCATGAAATCTTGGAAATACAATTAATCATGTTAAAATTCATTTATAAGGTACATTACTATGAATTGACTTTCAGCAAAATTAAGTCTTATCTGCAAACTTTAATTTTTTTCACACCAAACGTTAGCAAGATACTTTTCATCCTTTTAATCTACAATTGGGGTAGTTCCCAACTACTACAACTACAACTTTAGATACTGATACTTTTTTAATTGCGGTTTAGCAAAACCGAGGTTTTTTGTTTTTAAATGTACAAAGAATATTAAGTAAAACGAAAAACAAAGATTTGAAGTAATTTTAATGAAAAATGTTTAAAATTACAACTTATATATAATTTACAACATTAATTTAAGAAAATATAACAATCGTTAAACTATGTTAATTTACTCCCACCTGCTTTTCTTTTTCCGTGTTGATGTAGTGGGAGGAGGAGGTGGTGGTGGTGGTGGTGCTGGTGTATGAATGTGGGATTTCGGAGGTTCAGTCCCTACTTTGAACTGAAACCAAAATATGAGCATTTTTCCCTTACAATACAAGTAAGTATATCTTACATGGTTCATGTACTGTGTTTTGAAAGCTGCTTTCATTGCAGACAACCTGTCTGTTGCTGGCCCTGGCTTGGAAGTAACGTTAGCCGGAGAAGTCGAATAAGAGGACTGAGAAGAGTTAGCCCTTTCCTTATATCCAAGGCCCATCCCTCCTACATTAGGGCTTTGATCCTTTTTCTTGAATCTACATTTTTTGTTACAAGGAGGTAAATATCGCTAATGAAAAATAAAAACGCATAACAAGCACACCTTGACTTTCTGAACCATGAACTCTGCATGGCAAGATCGAGAACTTCCTGGGGTACTTCCTGATGCGCAGCTTCCAAGTTGCGCACAATATGGCCAGCAAACTCTTTATCTTTGTCAGTAAGTAATGTATAAGCCACGCCTTGCATTCCTGCACGTCCTGTTCGCCCAATCCTGTGCGTGTGAGTGTCAATATCGCGAGCTATATCAAAATTGACGACAGTTCGAATGTGAGGAATGTCGAGACCGCGAGCCGCCACATCTGTTGCCACCTTAATATGAAAATAATTATAAATCGTTATAATTATTATTAAGGTAATATTACCAATAAAGGGCATTCACTTTTTTTGAACGCCATTATCACTTTGTTACGGTCAGCCTGCTCCATGTCGCCATGAAGAAGTAAACAGTCAAATTCCTTTACTTGCAAATCATTAGCAACCTTAAAAAATATTAAAAACAATGTTCAGCAATATTATTCAGTCTATCCATATTGTTGTTGTATTTAAGGTTTTGGAATTTTAGATTTATGTTAGAATCGCTAATATGTACCTGCTCTGCATCAACCTTTTTTGTAACAAATACTAGCACAGACCCTGCAGACAAAAACTCTACCAAATGTCCAAAAAGCCATTCTCTTTTTGCCTGTAAATTTGGTAAAAGCAGCACATGCTGCTTAACGTCTTCAGATGCCTGACCAGCAATTCCTTGACTTATTTTGATAGGATCCTGTAATGCATCTTTTGCCAGTTTCTCAATACGTTTTCGAAAAGTAGCACTGAAGAGTAAAGTTTGTCTGTCAGGTCTGACGTGATTACAAACAGATCGAACTTGGGGTTCAAATCCCAATTCAAACATTCGATCAGCCTCATCTAGTACCAAGAATGTAACTCGTTGTAAATTAGTGGCTCCACCCTTTATGTGGTCAATTATTCGACCTGGAGTTGCTACCACAATTTCTGCTCCTTCTTTTAAAGCCTGAAATAAAATGGAAAGGTAATTAACGTTTTTAATCTTGTTAAAAGAAAATACAGTATTTATTTACCTGACTTTGTTCCCATTTGGAGCCACCTCCATAAGCACAGATAACTCTAACATCATAAACTTTGGCAAAGCGCTTGGCCTCATTATAAATTTGAATTGCAAGTTCCCTAGTGGGGGCTAAAATAAGAGCTATGGGACCTTCACCTTCTTCCACTGGAGGTTGCTCCGCTACATGAATCAACAAAGGCCATAGATATGCTGCAGTCTTACCACTTCCTAAATAGAGATTTTATATGTACATGAAATAAATGCTTGGTGATAAATAAAATTTCACCTGTTTGGGCAATTCCTAATACATCACGTCCCATAAGAGCACAGGGTATAGCTTGGGATTGAATAGGTGTTGGTGTTGCATATTCTGCCTTGATAATGGCTTTTAAAAGTTTATCATCAAAATTAAAGTGTGCAAAAGATGCCACAGGCTTGGGTGGTTTAGAACCGTTAACATTAATATCCAAAGTTTTTCTTAATTCTGTCACTTGAGAAGAAGTGAGACTTTCTATGTCTGGATGTAATTGGTAAAAGTCTTTCTTAAAAGGCTTGTATTCAATTAAAGAATGATCTATAGGAGGTAAAGGGTCAATGATTTTTTTGCGATCAGGAGGTATTGGATTCCCATCTTCGTCATATTCAATGTCTGGATGATCTGGATCAACTGGATTCAGGCCAGCATTTGGATTTTCTTCCATGTATCTGTAATAAGACTCTTCTTCATCTTCCTGTTCAATATCATCTCTGATTCCTTGTTGCTTCGGCTCTTCAGTTTCTGTTGTTACTTGTTTCTATTTTAAAATAAAAACACATATAATCCTTTTAGCTACTGCAAGTATGAAATAGTTCTCCAAACCCTACCTTTATTTGATTTTCAATCCCTGCCATGTATGCATCCAAAGGGTCGTCGTCTTCATCTTCAGGTACCTCTTCTTGGTCCTGGATGGCTGTAGGACTTCCCGGGGCCGGAATGTAGGCCAAAGCAGGGGTAGATTCATCTTCTTCATCGAAATACCTAAAAAATCCAAGTATAGGCTGTCCCCCGACAACGAAGGGTTGCAACGTACTCATCCTCTGTGGCAGCACGTTTTCGGCTGCCTCCCCAAGCTGCTGAAAGAGCATTTTGACTGATTGCATTCATGGTCGAATAACCTTGTTTGCTAACACCACTTGATGGGGGCGGTGGAACAGCATTATGTCGGGCATTTTTATTCGGTTGATAACCACCGTAATTATAACTGTAGTTGTTCATGTTTACCACACTCTCTTTTAATATTGCTATTACATTACAATATTTACATGTAAAATGCAAATTTACCGACCATAAAACTGTACATTTATTGACGTAAACCACAGACGTAAACATATACTGTACTGACGTAAACGAAATTGCAGGCAACATCAATACAGGCCATAGATAACAAACCATAGATAATAGATACACAAACCTTAGATAAAAAAATTGATTCGGTCGTAATTGTCTCTCTATGAACGCTATTGTGAATTGTGAAGAAATAATCAGTTCATATGAATCATGAAGTACCTTTAAAAGGGACCGAAAAATAATTAAAGATTGAAGAAACGGAAATGAATTAAAACAAAAGAATAGACAAATGAATTGGTATTGTGTATAATTAAATTTTAGAGGAAGCTTCGTATCACAACATTAACAAGCATGATAGTAAAATAAATAACACAGCTTAGAGTACACAAAATGCTTACATAGATACACGATAGACAAACAATATAAACACCTTAAATGATATTATTTAATGATATTTAGGAATCAAACATTCACTCCTCTTTCTTTTCTTCAGCTTTCTCCTCTTCTTTTTCCTCTTTTTTCGGTTCTTCTGCTTCTTCTTCAGCTTTTTTATCTTCTTCAAGCGTTAATAAAACTTTGCCAACATTTTGTCTTTGTGCCAAAACCTTGGTGGCATCCACGATTTGATCAATCTTCCAAACAGAGTCTATTTTTGGCTGTATTTTTCCTTCTTTTAGTAAACTGAATATTGCGTGCAGAGCTTCCGTAACCCTTTTTCTGTCTTTTTCAATTAAAGTACCCAAATGTAAACCGGCAATGACCCTATTGTTTCTGACCAAAATTTCAGGAGAAACGGATTTCATGTTCCACCAAGCTTTCAGCATAGACAACGTTGATAATTTCTGTTCATTCTTAATTAAATGATTCGCACCTGGAAACAAGTTTTTCCATCAATCAAAAGCGATATAGACTTTTATCTGGTACCTACCTATTAAGATAATTCTTCCCAATGGCCGAAGATGTTCTTGTAAAGTTAAGAATGTTTTTCCGGCTTGATTATCAATGATCAAGTCCACGCCGTCAGGGCAGGCTTCTTTCAAATCTTTTTCTAAATTTTCGTAAACAAAGACGTCTTTTACCCCATTTTCTTTAACTGCATCGAACTTTTCCTGAGAGGTGGTCCCAATAATTTCAACACCTTCAACTGTCTTAGCTAATTGTGTTGCAGCCCAGCCAACACCACCTTAAAATAAACACTTTTCCTTGTTAGCAAAATATCGGCTAACATTCTTAAAAAAAGATGTAGCTTTACCTGCACAAGACTGGATTAAAATTTTTTCGTTAGCCTTAAGATTACCTAATTCGAAAATTGAAAAATAAGCGGTTAAATAGTTAACAAAGATGGCGGCTCCTTGTTCCAAGGTTACGTGATCGGGAAGCAGAAAACAATGTTCGGGGGATACCCTAACTACGTCCTGGTACATGCCACCATTATAATCGTAGCAAATAACCCGTTGATTGACCTTAAAACGAGGCGGTTGTTATTAAAAAATACAAATTAATTAATATTTTAAAGAAAGGCTATACATAATGAAGGTAATCAAAACTGATTAGGGGCATAAAATGAACGAAACATTTTTAAATATCAAGTCAAAAATAATTTCAGGATAGTTTTGACTTGGTCAAAATAGATAGGTAGTTTATTAAAAGAGTAATAAGGGAAGCGAATGTAACCTGGCCTAAAAATTGATTTGTCCTGAATCATTTACCTGCCAAACTATAGTTTATAGTGAAACATATTCAACTTAAAAACTAATTTGGACAGAGCAAAAATAGTTTATGCTGAAATCGGATTTGGTTAGTCACGTTTCAGGGCAAACCAATTTGGATTAGGCCAAAGTGATTCATCCTACCACCATTTGGTAAACTAATTCGGCATAAGCAAAAATATAGTTCATCCTAATGTTTGGGTTTGGCTGACATCAGCATTAGCATCTTTGAGTTTCTAAAAATTACAAAATATGAAGGCCTACAACACGTTTAATTATTTTTTTGGTAGAAGACCATTGTACCAATATTGTCCATATTTATTTATTTAAATTAACAAACTTTAATAACAATTGTTTTACCATACAAAACAAAAGTATACGGCAATGACTCGTTTTAGAAAAGGTTTTGGCAGAGAAAACAAAAGTACTTGACAATTTTAACAGAACATACATCGGGCAAACAGGTCGCACCTTTACATAAAAATTAAAAGAACAACATAAAATAAGTGAACAAAAGAAAGCTAACTCTAACCACGCCGCCCATCAGTTGATTTGATAATAATTAAACCTCTAGAAATAAGTAATTAAATAATGTTAATTTACCCAAGATTAATATTTTAACTTTAATATCCTGTGTAGTAGGGAAAGCAAAAAATTCGTTTGACAAAATAATTCCATCCATTTTGTTTGTGAATTCGTGTTTAATATGCATGTACAAAATTTAAATATTTATTATTATTGTGCTATTGATCCGAATCTTTTAAATATGTTTACATATTTGATCACAAGGGTATGGAAATCTACTACACAAACGGAAATACATCATCGTCTTCCTATTACAATGTGGAATCTCATTTGAAGACAATAATATTTGTTATCTGAGAGATATGCATGCATGAACCTAGTAGGCATTTGAAACAACAAGAAAAACAAGTGATAACGTTCACTTGTTAAATAGTTAGAAAGCAAAAAGTGAACTTAACAAATATCCCATTTTTTTTTTTTTAATTTTGAACAAATCAGACTGATAATTTTTAAAAAAATGAAGCTATACGATAATTATTGATAACTAATAGATAAATTAATTTATTTATCTCGTTTTTTTTTTGAGAGGGGGGGCAATTGAATTTTTTTTTGGTTTTCATACATTAATACCTATATTGATTCCTAATTGATAAAATAATAAATTAAAATAAAAATGGGAGAAGTCACCTGTATGCCAATGTCGTCTCCAACAACAGCGGAAACAACTCCAGCGCATTCCATCCCCAGCACGAAAGGCGTTTTCTTGTTCGTTATCAACCCCTGTCTGGTGTACAAATCGGCAAAATTCATGCCGCAAAAATTAACTTTTACTTCGACGTACTTTTCCAAAACGGGCAGAGGGAATTTATCAACCTAGCAAACATACTTTAGTTCGAAAAGCGTACCAGACTTTCTAAAAGCCATCTTTTATTGCTTTTTTTTCTATATTTCTTACCGAGAGCACGTCGTATCCTCCATACTTTTTGACTATCACCGCCTTGTTTGCAAATTCCATTATAATTTTGTTTAAACTACTCTACTCTACGTGCGATATCACAAAATAAAAGATCGATACAAATATTGACATCAACCACTTCACGGACCGCGACTAACACACCGCACTCTTCTTCTCTAGACACCTGTTGATGCCGGCAAACTAAGCTATACAGATATTTGATCTGTTGCTTGGTAACACAACACAATGTTGCCGTTTCTTGTTTCGATCTTTTCAAATTCGAAACAAAAAGTTTCTGTCCCGAAATCCCCAAGATAAACCTCAGCTTTTCTTCAACCAGGTATCAATCAAAATGGTACTTTTATCAGACCCAACATATGACCAACAGTATACGATAGTATCAACCAACTTCAAAAATATCTTTGCGTTTCACCCAAAACAATACAAATCATATCGTCATTAATTACCTTTATTATAAAACAATTGCATTATTGACTACGACATGAAATTTTGGTACCCTTTTTGGAAAAGACGAGTAAGGCAACGCGAGACCCGCAATGGAACTTTCTTTGATTAGATGAGGTGTTTCTTAAAAATTTGGACATTCCCATCTCCTTGGTGAGATTTTGCTGAACTTCTCTTCCCTATTGACCTCACGTAATTAACATACACCCCCTTATTGTATTTAGATGTCAATTAATTGTCTGGCAATGCTATTAATGATCAAGGTGCGATTATGTGAAATGTTTTTTGAAAGATTTGGAACCATCTTCCCTTTGATGAGATTTAGGTACCCTCTCTTTCCCCTTTTGACCTCACATAATCAATGGCTAGCCCCCTAAAGCCACACGTAGTGAATATTACACAACATACAGTACTTTTTAAGCTTCATTTTCCTTTCGTTTGATTATTGTTGACGTTGACGTTTTTGTTCATTTCTGTTATTTTCTTTTGTTTCTGTTTTATGTATTAACAGACGATGGTTCATTGTTATGTCGTCTTGGCAACCTCGTAACGTTTCCCCCTTCTTGTGGCTCGAGTGAATAAAAAAAGAGCGTAATAAAAAGTGGATTAAGATTCGATTAAATGTTCGCTACTGGAGGCCCATTAGAACTATTGTTGCGCCTTTAAATTTGTCCGTTGCGATTCACTTTGGTTATCTTAATTTACAAAATAGAGGAATAAAACGAAAATTTGTCTCATTTTGTGTTTTCCTTTCTAAAATATTAACACCATGTTAACACCCACAGGAAATCGAAGTCTGCATCATGTAGGTGTAGCTAGTACATTATATAATTCTCATGTACATAATGTAAATACTTCCATTTCCATTTCGTTTATGGCTGTTGGGGCATCGCCCTTGTATTGTTTTTGAAGCTCACTTAGTGTTACTTCCGATGACTCGTTTTATCATACGAGTGTGTGAACTGTACATTGTACATGCATCCAAGCTTGTGGATGTGTATACAATGAAAAAATGAACAACAATCAATTACATTTCATGTAACGCACAATTATGTTTATTAGTCATTACACCATTATCATACTAATGAATAAAAAATTTTCAAGTGTGTGTTTTTATCAATACCGATAAGAACCCGCATTTGATGATTAATATTTGACGTAAAATGTTTCAAACATGAGAAAATAACTCCTTTGACAAAAAAAATCGAAGCAACATTTCGAATATTTCAGTATGATACGTAAAAAATACGTAGTAGCATTTGTTCTGATTGTTAACAACGATTGTCTTTCTTTCAACTTGCATCTTTTGTTTAAACACATTGAATTAATGTTTCACAAAGTTCGGGTTCATATAAAATGCAATTATTAAGTATCTTCAGATTGTTTATTAAACATTTAAATTATTTTAATACATTAATACCGTCATTATAAAGTAACGTTCTAATACTGATCAGCAGTTTCGATCATGATTTCTAAATTTTCTTTGAGTTGAGTCAAATTTTGGTTCGCCATCTGACCTAAAGTTCCTTCTGTAGTACCTGGAGGTTCTAAAGAAAGAATTTTAACTGATTTTTCCAACACCTCTATAGCTTCATTTAATTTTTTCCTCAAACCATCTTTATCTATCTCTCCAGCTGCGTACTGATTTTTGGCGAGCAGAATCAATGGAACATGGAGTTCGTAAAGAGTTAAGCCTGGACATTTAATTATTAGGGCATTTTATTAAAAAGAAAGAGATTCCAAGAATAGCAAAATTGTTATAATTTTCTCACTTATTGGCCAATGCCAACTATGAACATTTCAAAGGGTTAGAAAAACAAATGAGTTCCGGAAAAGTGATGAAGACATTTATTGCGAGAACTCGAGAACAAATATCAAAACAAAAGAGAGACTGCCTTTGTTAAAGAAATTTGTTTCTTTTTTTGTTTTTCTAAAACGAGTTTCACTGAATTTAATCATAAACATTAGAAAACCAAAATAATAACATGTACTTGTAAATGTGGGAAAAAATAAGAAATTTTACCCCGTAATCTGGAACATCCTGGTTCTATGACATCGGCGACTTGAAGAACCAGTTTACACATCTCCATTTTCCTTTCAAGTAGTAAATCAGGTAAATCTTCCAAACTATAGCCATCAATCTTCCCGTACAATTGGCTCAATGCCACCCTGAGAATCACGTTGTAAGCATTCCGGGGATGAAGAACAGACTTATACTTTCTGCACAATTGTTCTCTATGTTCTATAGCCTGTCCACCTTCTAGATATTCTACTTCGTCAATTTCCGACTGAATTTTTGCAAAGACTTTCCTAACTGCTTCCGATGGCGTCGTGAATGTACAATGAGAACATTTCCAAATTGCACTGTCATCTAACCGTAATATATCAAGCTTTTCATTTATTTTACTGATTCATTTGTAATATTTTACCTAAAGGATTAATCGATGTAATTAAGCCATTGTCGCATTTATTACATTTCAAACTACTCATATGCGTTTCTAATTCAGTGGGGTCGGTACACCTTTTGCAACAACATTCAAAATATTTACTTTCTTTAAGAAACTCCCTGCGAACTATTGTTGGCCATAGGGAATAAGTGTAACTTGAACACAATTCTTCTCCCTTTTTAACGGCTACGTTCGCCCTTACATTAACCCTAAGAATTAAATTTTCTATCATTAACGACTATTTATCTGTTTTGGAGAATCCACAGCCCAATTAAAAAAATATTAATAATCAGTAGGTAATAAGGAACCCATATGACTTGACCATTTACGAAAAATTTAATGTTTCCTGTTATTTGATGAGCATTTGTTAACGAATCGAACAATTGAAATATTTAGCCTATCGGAACGTGCTTACTTTTTGTTATACGTAAAAATAAGCGAATCGTCGTAAACAATAAATCGGAACAAAAGCTGCACGTATACACCCATTAGTTTACATAATTGATTAATAAGTAATATAAACATGTCAATTATTAGGTAAAAAGCAGAAAAGGAACAACATAAAGAATCGAGTACATATACGATGCTTCATAGTAGGTTTTCATGCCCAGAGTCTAACGATTTCTTTCTGGTTTCTGGGTTTTGCTGTGATTTAAGTTGTTTTCTTCCCAACCTTTGGAAAGCTTATTGGAAGAAGACAATCCGAATGTCAAATCACTGCAGAACTCAGAAACCAAAAGGATGAAGTTAATAAATAACACTATCAAAAACAAAAACTCCAATTATAACAAACCTAAAATCGTTTTCGTCCCCAACACCTGTCGATTCTATGGAGTGGGTAATGTTCGAGACACAATTATGATTCAATATGGCCAATTTCGGATACAAGCATCTTATACTGTAACCCGACTGGGTCCTTGCTTCAAACGCGTTTACATCAAGGATGCCACAAACTTTATGTATAAGGTCCTCGTCAAATCTGTCCAGTTTACATGGTCCTCTTAGAAAGTTCACCACGTTTATCTGATTAAATTCCCAAACCGGTTTAGTCTTCCTCTCTTCCGAATGAGATTCCATCATCTCCACTTCCTTGTTCCATCGTTCTGAATTCGTTTCTAATGTCAGTAAAACCCTTGAATAGAATTGCATAGTCTATGTAGATACTAATACAAACGCTCTGGTAAAGAATTAGATTTTATCTGTTCGCAAACTGTGAGAACCTTTCAACTATTCAACGTATTTGGACGTAAGAGTTCCGCAACGTAAAATGGGTCCTAAATATATTTTACATAGGTACCTATAGTGGAACTAAACACATAATAATGGATTGTTGAAATCGTCTTGTATTATTTTCGAAATTTGACTGTGAAATTAGTAAAGCTGATTTGTCTCTTAATAGCATATAAATACCTAATTAAAAAAGCAGTTTTTCGATATTATCAAATTCTTCCCCTATTTACAATATAATCAGTGTGAAATCAAATTCAAAAGGGGTTAAAAAATTAGTTAGTTTTTAAAAAACAACCGTCAACGTGTTGCCCTTAGTTAGTCATATTTAATTTTGCATTTTTCTGTAGAAGTTTTGATGCTTAAATCAGTAAAAATGGGAAGGCTGGAGTTCCGAAAACTGGAACCCTCAATTAAATTAAAAGGATTTTTGGCGACAAGAAAGCGAAGGGGGTGAAAACAATTTTTTTTCCGATTTTTTGTTGCAAAGAGAATACCATAATCTAGAGTCATGGATGCATCCAAAGGATCGTGAACCATAGTGTAGAATTCGTTAATTCTGAAACACGAACAATAATGATTTCCGAGTCCAAGATATCTTATCTTATCTTATTTTCACATTATCTATATTTATACAAATGTCAAAGCAATATACAGTACAAATATTTCTTTTCACCCTCTTCCCTTTCATCATCATCAACATCATAAGGTCGTCAGTCCTAAAAGACTGATCAGACACGCACCTCCACTCTTTCCTATCCCGAACTAATCTTCCGATTTCCCTAAAACTAGAGCATCCAACATCCTTAACTATTTGCGAACAGTAATCTAATCTAGGTATTCCCTTTCAAGTCGCGAAAAATCCCCAGCGATTCTGAGGGTTCCGACTTTCGCAACTCCAGCCAATGAGAGGTCTGAACTATTTAGAAGAAAATTATTTATATTCTACATCTGCCAACGTTTCGTCAAACACTCTAGGAACTTTTTCAATCAAGGAAAAAATTTCTTGCTTGTTTAGACTTTGAAAAAATTCGCATAACCTGGCAGGTGAAACATTAGCAATTGTAGTTTCCAAGGTTGCATACATCAATCTTCCGTTATTAGTTTACAAAACCTTTTTGAAAACCTAAAGCACTAATATTGTTAATTATGCATGCATGTCAAACTTCTTTTCTTAAATCTGGATTGTATATATGTAGGTATAAGTTCGTAAGTATTTTTATATGTAAGATTGTTTACCTCAAGGGTGTAATACACTCAATTTGGGGACAGATATCAGTCGGATCAGACACACTCTGAAATTTTACTCCTTCTTTAGAAAATATTTTACATTCTTGTTGTTTATGAGCTGGAATTTGTTCGCATTCTGGACCACAAACTGGCCATTGACAAGACGAGCACAAGATTGACCCGTCAGTTGGGGTGCAACAACCCAAACAAACCACTGGACTGTCTGATTTAAAAATATCTTGTGTTGCCCATCATTTATCGTTAATTATTATCATGGCATAAATAAATACCTGTTTTAGGACCAAAAGCAAACGGAATTTCGGAAAAAATCGTCTCTCCTTCCGCCAAATTCTTGCTTGCTGTCGCATATCTTCCACACTTATCACTCTTTTGTATGTCAAATAAAACCTACAAGTAGCAAAAATATTTATTAAAGTGGCAATGTTTAGCCAGTAGATTTACTTGTTGAGCCATTTTGCACTCTCGCACTTTGAAACAATCAAACAAAACTCTCTTGATTTTATTGTTGGACGACTCTCTGAGAAAAACATCGTCGTAGTATTTATAGCATTATTTCGGTCCAGATCTTTCGGTACTTATCCAGAATAAATCTATTTTTGTCGAAACGAACAATTCGTTTTAAAACCTGTTGCGTTTATAATGTGGTCTTTGCCAAGATTTATATCCCGGGTCAGGACGCTTTCCATACAGGGTGTATCATGGACGCCGTCACGATTATTTTCAAGGAAGTGCATCCTTATAATTTTAAGTATAGGTGTTCAGAAAATTATTAATGATAAGTACCTATCATACACCCCTTTTTTCCACTGTGCAAATCAAATATATTGAATATTGTCATCAGTGACCTGAACGATCTCAATGAAGTGAGAAATGATTCCATGTTTTTGTGAAACGCGTGTTGGACAGCAGAGATGAAGATATGTATCGTAATTTTTGAGAGAGCTCAAAGAATTTGCTAAGAATCGAATGTTAAAATTTAGGAGTCAATACCAGAAAGCTCAAAATTTTTCGAAAAACAGGATGCTAAATTTAAGGGTCCCCGACTGATAGCAAAGCATTTCTTCTTTGAATAATCGATTTTCTTCGACACACAAAGCCATTTTGGCTGTATTTTCTTTCATGACAGAGTGGTACAACTGCAATTCCTTGCACCCTCCTGCCAAAGTTCGTTATTACAGTGGATGTTTACCCAATTTGAAAAATTAAGAAAACAAAGATAAAAATGTTATGTTGTTTTTACTTTAAGGTGTTCGACAAATATGAACATTTACCGTGCAGAAATAATTTTTATGTAATATACTGCGTGAAACTATTTTTAATTGTTTATAATAAATATAATTATTATCAATAAACAATGAAAATAAGCAGCCAAAATAACTCCTGAAAACTTCCTCTTCGCTATTGTAAAACCCTATCAAAATTGTTTCAGTCGTTTCGAAGAGTAACCCTAACAGACAGACAGATAGACATACAAAACTTCTTTAAAGCTCATTTGTCTTAATAGCATAAAAATAATTAAAAAAGCAGTTTTTCGATATTATCAAATTCTTCCCCTATTTACAATATAATCAGTGTGAAATCAAACCCAAAAGGGGTTAAAAGTCATTTATTTTTTTAAAAAACAACCGTTAACGTTTTGCCCTAAGTTAGTCATCTGTAATTTTGCATTTTGCTTATTATAATTTGATGATAGGCGTTATTAACTAAATAATGTCCTCATTACTTTTAGGTATTCAACTTTATTCCTTGTATTTTTATTATATAATTTCACATCTGAAAAAATTTGTGTTCAGCATCGGAACAATATTTTTGACACTATTTTCTCATTCATATCTATTTCCATTGTTGAGTAATTGTTGAGATTTTGACTGTTTTTAAAAGTACAAGGTCAACAACCCTTTGAAACTCTATGTGTTCAGGATGGGAGCCATATTGTTGGCACTATTTTCTCTTTGATATCTATTTCCATTGTTGGACAATTGTTGAGACTTTGACAGTTTTTAAAAGTATGGGGTCAACAACCCCTTTAAAGCTTAACGTCATTATTAGCATATTATCTTTAATTCTCTTCATAAGAAGCTAAAATATCATATTTATCCATTTTATTGTTAAATTACGTCATATAGCTTGTGTGAAACATATGCACATTCAATGTTTAAGAAATTATTTATAATTTATAAGCTTTTATTGCCAAGACAGTTAGAATCCTTATCAGTGGATGTTTTAAAATTTCTTTAATTAGATTACTGGTTATTAAAATGTTGAATTTTTATCTTATTCACCACAAGTACATATATTTTTTGAAATTGGCCCTACCATGTATATAAAAAAAGGGAAATTATGTTTCAATTGTTTATTGTGTGGGATGGTATAAAATAGTTGTTAACAATTATTAAAATTTACATCTTCTGTTTAACAACAAATGTTCATTCAATACAACTAACATTTCACAAGTACAATTACTGTTTCATCAACAGATGATAAGATGCTTAGAAAAATGCCAGACTGACAGTACTAATATAAACATAAAGTTGAAATGCTTAAATGAAAATTACAGAATTATCAAACTATATAAATAAAATAGATGCCAAAACTATATACCACTAATAAAAATGAAAAAAATAAATAAATATAGAAGGGACTTCAAAAGAATGAAGTGTAAAAAGGTGTTCCATGTTCACTTGGCATAGGAAACACTTCTTTAGGTTAAATACCAGCCCTCTATTGAAATATTAGCAACATAAAATTGAGAAGGGGTACTTAAAAATTTTTACCATAATGGCACTTGTTTGCAAAAATTATTTTGGTTTTGTAAACTTTGTAAGTTTGCAAGTTGAAATGCATTTCAGTTTAAATCTTTGTTTTTATCAGAATGGCATGGACTATTCAAAAACACTTGAGGTATGTTAGGTCCAAAATAAACCTTTTCATTTTGAGACAGTGATTCAAATTTCTTGAGCTCAATGTACTCTTTTGTATGGAGAAGTCTATTGGCTTCAGCTTGTTGTTGGACACGGTAAGATTCTGCATCAGTATGGCTTTTTTGTCGTGCCAGATGCATTTCATCTTCTATTTGTGCAATTCTTTTTAAAGATTCCTTTTCCATTATATTCTGCTCAGCCTGGATCTTTGCAATTTGGGCTTTTTTTTCTGCTTCTATAATTGCCTTTTTTCGTTCAGTTTCAGCATCTTTTTCTACCACCTACAGTACAGAAACCATTTGATAACAAAATAAAGTCATGTATAAATTACTTTTACCTTTTGATGCTGAACTGCTATTAAAAGTTTAGTCTTTTCACTTTCCATCAATTCATAATTTTTTCTAATCACTTCTGGTATTTTTGGTTTAGTGACTCGTACTGCTTGTATTTTAAGGCCTTGAGCCATTTCATTAAGATCTTTTTGCAATGCTATCTTAAGATTTTCATCAATCTGATCAAACAAATCAATGTATACTTCATGTAATGTGTGAATACTGCAGAACTGGTTCAATTCATGATGAACTTTGTTGAATATCAATGTCTTATCATAATCTGCTGTGTAGTTGCGCACAATATCTAAAACTATTACAACAAATATTCAGATATTTGCAAATTGTTAAAAAACAAATTAAGTAATTGTTATTCAGTATTTAGCAGTAATCAACAAACCACTTGCAGGTTGTAAAATATTCACTACTTCTATACGATCAAAGTAAATCATGACACCTCCACTTGTTCCACATGGTACATTTTTTACTTCATCTGTTTGCAAAGTCACCTGTAAAAAAATATATTAAAGCACGTCGTATATAACTGCAACATCATTTACTTGAACTGGTCGGTACACAGTCAGTAGGGGTATCATCATGTGGTATCCAGGTTGACTTGTAAATGGTAAGAGTGCTCCACCCTTAACAATATAGAATAGTATTAAAATATTAAAAATTCAGCAGACAGTTTTCTTGTATATTCTTACTCTAAAGTAGACCCCAACATAACCCTCTTCAATACGATGCAATGAATAATGAAACATAATAAAAAAGGTCATGAGTATGCTACCTATAAGTATGTGCTCTGTAAGAGGAGACATCTGAAAATTAAATTTAATTATTTAACTTGTTGATGTTTTGTTTTTCAGGAAATTAAAATTTTAATTTAAAAATTTTACCGGCATTTTCGGGTTTTGTGGAAATTTCTATCACTTTTTAGTTTCGTCACATACACATACTTATTCAAAATTCAACCTTTATGAGTTATCTTTAATAATCACCTGTCGAATAACATTGTTTACTAATTAATTTAAAAAATTAGAGAACGAAAGGGGATTCAGCTGTTCTACTATATCCACCGAGTACACGGATTTTCGGGGGTTTTGCTATGTTATTTGCATAGATAAGTTTTTAGTCTTTTTAATCATTTTTGATTGTTGACTATAAATAATTGTTAACACAAATCAAGGATAGAACCATAGATAATGTTATAACATGGTTATAACCGAAACGGCTGTCATGTTCAAGCAAATGATCCCAAATTAACTAACCAAATGGTAGATTATTGGACCTTTGCTTCTCTAATGCTGCTATAGATCCATTTCATCCCTTATTACAAATTGAAATATGTGTACGGAGATCATGGCATATATCCATGTTAGTTTTAACTGAAGCTTATAGAAGCTATGTAAATAAAAAACTTTTTGGATAGACACATCAAACACACTAAGGAACTTGGATTCTTACAGTTAAAAAAACTTATTGAACTTATATTATTCCCACCAGCATTAGATCGTGGGCAGATTATTCCACCGACCTGAACTAGTCATGGTCATAAATGGAAGGCCCTCTTCATACTTTTTAAGGAATCGTGGAAATGGGCAGTGAATGGTGTTGGTGGTTAAGAAGAGGTGGACTAGTTGAATGAGACGAGACGGTTGAAATAAATATAGCAGAAGGATAAATGACCCATTGTAGAATGTTACTGTTCCACACGATTAGGAAAGCCACAAGAAAACTTACATCAAGGTAAATTAGGAAACCGCTGAGTATCCCAGTTGTGAGTTCCTACTTAAGGAGGGATTTTAGTCAGTAGGCGCTTCGGCAAATCTGACACTACACCTCCTGAAGGGGGTGTTCTTTGAAGATTTCCCCTCCTCGAGGAACAACTAAACAAAGAAAAAGCTTTGATGACGTGTCTAAAATCAGATGTAACCGCATAGAATTGTTACAAACAAATTAAAAACAGGAATTTTATCTCCTTGATGAGCCTGGATCGAGGCGTGGTGTCATAGTTTCATAGCCCGTTTGAGTCATGAGAAGAGAAATGAAGTTTGGAGGAGCAACATGGAGGCTGTATGGTGGCTGCGGAAGTGTTTAAATATAGTTTCTAGGAATCAGCGATTATTTATTGGACAAACACGAACAACTCGTTTTGGTTTTTTTCATTTTCACAAAGTTTTCATTATTTTCCGTTGTCGAAAGTGGTTCTGAGTGTTGATTGTCCTTCAGCTACTATATTCTCTTGCGAAACAATTTCTGCCAATCGAAAACGCTTGATCGACCATTGGCATTGTTTCATGTCATGGGTTTCGCTCGAGTTTGGGGGGCTTGGCACTCGTGACAGGAGTGTTTCTTTCTGTGCGGAATACTGAAAGTGTAGCCGAATATCTGATATTGCTTACCAGGCGACAACATTGAAAACTAATTGACTATGGTATATTTTGAAGAGATTAATCTAAAAACTTGAATCTTGAGAGCATGAACAACAACGTAACTTCGGTTAACGAAAACAGAAATCTTGCTATTGAGGTGAACACTAACCCAGTATTCTTTATTCACGAAATAACCACTGCATCCACTTGGAATAACAGTTTACGGTGAAATCTGGTAAAAAAAAAGTAACTGGGCCCTTTTTCCTGAAGACATTACAAATGCTGCTACAACTGCTATTGGTTATCACACCTGTTTAATGACCTACACTGTGGTGCAGTGATAGGTAGAGAATAGTGAGGAGAGCCTCCTTTAGGGATCGTGGGAAATATCGCGATCTTGGTGATGGTTAAAGAGAATGACAAGATAAAGACAGCAAAAAAGTGAAATATTATCTTTAGAATATTACTGCTTCAGTATTTCTGCGAAGGAAATCACAAAAAAAAATATTGATTGACCCCAGGACTATTATCGGATTTGAAAGGCTCTTGACTTTTTTTACGAAAACATCTAATGTTCTAACTGATGAATCTTGAATCTTACCGCAAGGAACTATTGTGTATGCGAAAATGTGTTGTCATAATGAAAAATACAATGGGGATATGCTATTCAACCAGAAATGGACCTATCTAATGAGGGCGAGTGATTCTGACTCGACTGAGGATGAAGTTTAGGAATTTCGGGGCTTATGAATGGATTCAAAAAGAGGGGCAATGTAGTACATTGATTTATATATATCTTGTTAATGGGATTATTGAAAACTGTATCACACTATTGTAGTAAAACTTTCAGTAAAATATAATATATATATTATAATCGAAAATTTTTTTAAAAAAGATGATATGCCAAGAATACCTACAAATTTTACAAGGAGAATATTTTATGTTATTTCATTTCTTACCTTTTATTCCTTCTTTAATTGTTTCTTACTTTGTGAGTTGAATGTTTGTACATATACAGCGGAAAGAGGCATGTTTCAAAACTGAATATTGATGGCAATACACCCACGAAATAATCACGAAATATTGAAACTGTGAAATGGATCTCGTGTTCTATTTGGTTCCTTGTACGTTACTACACTATTGATTAAATTGAAAATTCATTTAATACATATTCCATTATAAAATTATAACATAAAAGTTGTAATTACCATTTCTGAGGGCGTTTTAACCTTGAATAAATAACTAAAAAGATTTTCATCGTACAAGAGAAATTGTCATGTGTTCCAGAGTTGGATAGATTAAATTATGAGTGATCACAGAGTGATTTTGATTTCTTAGCTATCTCTTATTACGTATAGTCGGTCTTAATGGTCTTGATGGTCATGGTCCTTGTTGTAAATGTAATATCAATGTTTATTACTATGTCTTCAAAACGAAAATTAAAAAGTTTGACGATAAGTTGAAATTTTCCGTAATTTGAATTTTCCCTAACTCTAACACAATTGGTCACTAATACATTCAAATTTCATACCTACCAGCATTGATGGGGTGTATTCAAATATCTAGGTAGTCTATGATTTTAACTATTTTTATTTAATAACTGAAAAATAATATCTTTGTAAACAGTTACTTTAATAAGATAATACAAGACAGAAATGAGCGCGAGGTAGATTACTTTTCAAATCAATAAAATCAATATTGAAGTAATTCAGCCTCCCTGAAGGTATATTGTATTAAAAATTATAAATAACTTTGGATGAACATCTACAAGAAAAATGCAATATATTTTTTTAATAACTAAAATAAAACAAATTGAAATTATCAATAACATATTCATTTAATAAGTGTCTTGTGCTCACAATAAAAATAAAAAATTGTAAAATAGTCAAATCAGTTAAATTCTGATAAAATATGGGTAAATATTTGAGTGTTCATAAATATTGAAAATGTGTTTTTGATTGAACACAACAAAATTAAAAACTGTTGACAATAAATTGTAAAATTTATTTATTCACACTAGTCGAGTATGTTAAAATAAAACGATTTGTTTTACGAGTTAAAATTATATTATTTTATTTAAATGTTACGTTCGAATTTATAATAAGTAGGCACTAGGTGTATATATATATATTAAACAAAAATAATTTTACGCTTAATAATATTGGAAAATTATTTTGTTCTCCTACAAACAGCTATAACATCGGTTCAAGTACACGCTCTCGGTTTCTATTTTTAAAAGGGGGTTCGCTGCGCATAACGCCCTTCCCCCTCGCAGGTCCCCTTCTTCCCAGCCAACTAATCGATACCTGCTCCAAAACGCTAGCCAAGCCCCCTCGAATGAGTGGCGCAGTCAACAATATAATATTTCTAAACGCGAACGAAAGAGATATTATTTACCGCGGTATTTTATTAATATTAATTAATTAATTAATATTTTTTTACCGTCCCCTCGTCAATATACCGGAGTACCGGAGTTTTCAAGTTGTTTCAACAGACCTAATGATGTAACGTTGTATCTGTCTATTTAACAGTAATTAATAAGTACTGATATTGCTTACCAGGCGACAACATTGAAAACTAATTGACTATGGTATATTTTGAAGAGATTAATCTAAAAACTTGAATCTTGAGAGCATGAACAACAACGTAACTTCGGTTAACGAAAACAGAAATCTTGCTATTGAGGTGAACACTAACCCAGTATTCTTTATTCACGAAATAACCACTGCATCCACTTGGAATAACAGTTTACGGTGAAATCTGGTAAAAAAAAAGTAACTGGGCCCTTTTTCCTGAAGNAATCTATGTATAATTGAAAACAATAGCTGTACCAAGCAGTAGGTGTTTACTGTGTTTGCGTGAAATTAATTAATTAGCATTTTTATCAGAATTGTTTTTATGTAGGTAAAATACCTGATTTTTGTTTTTTTTTCTATAAAAAAATCTGATTAATTTCGGTTTAATAATTTAAAATTTATCTACTTTTTTTTATGTTGAACGTTCTTTACATATCTATATCTTCTACAAAATGATTACAAATAATTACCAAATAAACTACAACTATGGGTATTATAATGGGGGTTGCAGCTTCCATTTGTTGCATACATTGTTAAAAATACGTGACATTAAATTTTAACGAAACTGCAATTGGCGATTTATTTTATTAAAGATATTTATTCTTCCATTATTTATTTAACCGTTTTATTTATTACAATTACAGATACCTTATTATCTTATTGTTTTTTCTTTCGTTTTACTGACGCAGACTTTGAATTAATAAATTTCTTTCGATATACAGGTAAGGCAAAACGTTCACTAAACATAGAAATTTCACACTTCCTTGTCTGCCTTTTTTTATTTATGTCACACAAGCGAAAATGCAAAATAATAATTATCAAAAAGTTTTGTACAAAGGGAGACTTCTCTCAAAAACTTAAATTTATTAAACTTATAATGTTGTGTTGTTTTTTATTGGATGAAATAATGTGATCTAAGGTACTTGTTCCTATAGCACCTCGTACTTTTCGAAATATGATGCCGCACTTTGATGATTACATGTTCTCATATCTGTACTAATGTAAAAAGTGCAAGACGAAAGCAGAAATGTAGAGGACCTAGTGGTTCTTGATAGTTCGGAGCCTTTTTTTTTCAATTTTTTTTCCTCGCCTTGATGACGTAAATAAGTACTAAAGTCTTCAGTTCTTTTTCACTTTACTGTTTTTTAAGTCAGTCATTTGCTCATCATCTGCTCTTACTGTTGCTTCTTGCTTTTGCCTTATTTGTTGCTTAGGATGTAGCTGTTTTTGAAGATTCTGGACTGCATGGCTATTTGGATTTCATTTTAGAAAAAATTAAATCAGCAGATATAGAGCTAAGCGTAAAAACACAATCTTGGCGTTCTCTACATTTCAGCTTCTGACTGAAACCTGAAACTATTTTTTGGACCACATCTACATAAATACTCAAATAAAAAAAAAAGTATTTCATATAACGTCTTTGCGGACATCCCACTTTTTTATTTCTATATTTTCAAAAAAATTACAGATGTCTCTTCATTTAACATGGGATAATCATCTCGAAAACCTGAGCAGCACATTCGAAAATCTCTTCGAAAATAACAAACTGACCGATGTGACGATAGCCTGTAAGGACGGGTCTCTACTTGCTCACAAGTTGGTTCTCTCAGCTTGTAGTCCATATTTTGACAAGATATTACAGGAGAACCCATGCAAACATCCTGTGCTTATTTTACGCGGGGTTTCGCTTAAAGAAATGAAAACAATTTTAGAGTTCATGTACAAAGGTCGAATCGATATTCCCGCCTTTTTGTTTAATGATTTGATTTCATTGGCTTATGATTTGGAAATCAAAGGATTCGAAAATTTTCACGGAAATACAGCGGGATCATTCAATTCAACGAATCCCATACAAACGTATGCAGACCAGATCAGAAGCTCTTTAGAAATTCAGGAAGGTCGGATGCCCGTCGAAGCGATTTTAAATTCCGCCCCTGGAGATGAGGTATTGACCCGCTAGATAATGTTTGTGTATTCTTTAGATTCTATCACTTCAAAGTTGGTTCATTTTAGAGAAATGTGTCTTTTTATGATACTTCCGGTTCATATTCCCATAAATATGAGTCCGACACGCGTTTTAAGGGTCAAAAAAGAATTTCTTTAGAGTCCCTTGAATCGTTAGAGTGGCGCAAAAACCAAAAGCGAAGACAAGAAGATCGTAAGTTCGAAACGTGTCTTATAAGGTACCTATAATTGTTACCAATAATTACAATTTAATTTTAGATGGAAAAATTTGTAATTCATATTTTTCTGTTGGTGATGCGGTTTCCATGTCGAATTCCCGATACGGAGACCAACCTGCTCCACCCGTACCTTACATGGTAATTTTCTATTGTAAATAAGTTTATTTGCTACCTATTAGCTCTCAGTAAGACAGTACATCAAAGTAGATTTCGATATTCCAAACTTTTAGACAACGCCAGTAATTTCGTCAGTTGGAACAATTGAAGATGATGAAAATCATGAGGAAGTCAATTCAGTCGAAATTCCAAATAAAAGAGAGAATCCTTCAGATGATCAAGATTACGTACCAAATGATAAAAGCGAAAATAAAGTTAAAAAACCACATCAATGTGAGTTTTGTCGAAGTAGGTAAGTCGTTTCAATAGTCAAGTCTGATGAAGGCAACATTTGATGAAACAATAAATTGTTACAATTTTATTCAATAATCTTTTTTGTGAAAGTTTATAAATTTCGTATTTCGTATTCCTGGGGTGAAAATTTTTTACTATCCAGGATATTTTACAATTCTAAACGTTTAATTACTCGCCATAAAAAAATTAAAGCGGTTACAGGGAAGGCCTTTTTCCTTTAGTTTTAGCAGGTCTTCCCATTTAGCAAGACACCGAAGAATGCATACGGGTGAGAGACCATTTAATTGCACCCACTGTGGAAAAGATTTTGCTCGTCAAGACAAACTTAAACAACATATTAGAAACAGTCACTTAAATGTAATGCCAATAGTTGAAGATAAGAATTACATCACCCTGACCGACGTAGAAACTCGGGTATGCTAATATTCTTAATGAGCCAAGTTTTTATTCCTTGATTTCATTTTTTTTTTGTTCAGAAAGAGTCAGATCTTCCCATTAAAATAAAAGTAGAAGAACCACCCCAAAAAGAACCAGAGCAAGTCCCCGAACCAGTTAAAGAAGTTGATACACCCGATCTGAGTGTTAACAATATCCCAACAACTAATTTAAACAACGATAGGCTCCAAGAAATACCCACGGACTCCCCTTTGAAAAGAGGCCGAGGAAGGCCTAGAAAACATCCAGTGAAAGGTAAAAAAATACTGGAATCGTTACAGAAAAGAAATCGTAAAACTTTTTTCAGTGCCCCTCCCAGGTCCAAAAAGAAGCAGAGGTCGACCTAGGAAAATTAGACAAGGTAAGTCTTGAGAAAATATTTATTGCTATTATTATTATTTTAAAATATTCTGTAACATTATTAAATCTACAGTTAGTAGCAAGCTTCCATAGATGGCGACTTACATACTATCTTTATGTGATTATTTATTGACTTCTCTTACTTCCTTTATATACCTTTCATCCACAAAGGAGCTGGGCTGATAAGGATCGTTTCTGTCCTATGTCGTTCTAGAAAATAAGTTATTCTAAAGTTGAACCAAGTACCTACTTCCTGCAATAATTCAAGACATATGTATTTTTCGGGATGCTACTTGATCGCTTCCAAGTCCATCTAGTCTAAGTTTTTCTGGGTTTCCCTTGAGTCGCTTAGGTTGGGGCAGTAATATTCCAAAAGTAATCCTTTACTTCTCTTATGTTTTCGTTTCATCCTTGTTATCTTTCTCTCCTCAACCACAATCTATGATTCCTAAATGGAGACTTGTGAAGGGAGCCTTGTCTTTCGGTTTTGGACTAGATCAGAGGTCAAGGGACTGCCCGCTCACCAGTACCATTAACTGGTCTGAAATCATTTTTTTGATGATTTATACCAATCCCTTGAGTTTCTATCAATGCTTTGGGCATCATCATATTTCTTTACTATTTTTAGAGAGCCTCGAAGAAAACAACGAAGTGTACAATAATTACTTTCATAATGATTTACCAACGATGAGCCATCATCATCATCTTGAATCGTCATCACAGGCAAATGCCACTGATGAAAAAACTAGAATAGATTCGTCCTCTTCCTCTGTCTCTTCATCCTCTTCGTGTGAAGTAAAAACGTCAACACCTGATGCTTCTGAAGAAGGAGCGACTAAAAGACATCAAAACATTGCTATTGGTACCACCACCAAAGTTGGTAATATTAAGAAAAAGGAATGCGAAGAAAGTAATGGTAAATATCACATATCCGGGGATGAAACGCCAAAAGAAATAAAAGCGGAGATAACAGAAGAAAACATTGCAGAATGTGATTATGTTACGTCAGGGGCTGATAAGAGTGCATCAGATTCGTTGTTATCGATAAAAAATATTGGTGAATGTACAGTGTCGTTAGCAGTGAAGTAACTAGTAACTATTGCGATTGTCAAATAGTAGGTACCTAAAGTATATTTATTTTATATAATACCTATTATATTCCGAAAACATTGAACGAGATGTTTAGAATATCTTTTTCATTTTATTCTTTTACTTTTTCCTTTTTCGTTTTGAAAAGTACTTACATTATTCGTACCATGTTATTTTTGTTTATGTTTATGAATAAAAGAATGTGTTTTCTTTTTATTATCCAATAAATAATATTATATGTTTGTTAAAATATTGCTACTTTCAGTACTGAAACCGTTGAATAGAAACGAGACAGAATATTTCCAAAATTTTGTAAAAATGTTAGGATTTACCCTCTGTTTGGTACTCAGTTTTTAAAAAATTCACAATGCAAATAAATCAGTTCTACGAATTTACTTCTCTAGGTTTCCGAATCATTCAGTTGGTAAGTTACAAAAAACTAAAATTACGAAAAGAAAAACAAAACAGAATTTTTCCAAAATTTTATAAAAAGAATGAAAATATAAAATACATTTTGATACGTACGGCAAATTTTATCTCCGAAAGTACAAATCTAGAATAGCTTCAATTTCTACTCAAAAATAAAGAAGAATTTTACTGAAAGAATATGGATTTACATATTCAAATACATTATTCTGTAAGTAAACCTTTTGCCTGATAACAAAATAGTTTTGTTCTATTTGTATCTGTACTTACCTACGCTGAAGTATATGTTACTTCAAAGTTATGCATTTTTGTTGTTATGCAAGTGCACAACATTAAAAATTAAATACACTATTAAAAGTTTGTAAAAAATGCATAATTTTAAAGCAACCTAATTTAGCATAGATAAGAAGGCAAAATAATTATCTATTGCTTCATATTCTTTTTTCTTACAATGGTATTTTTTTATCAGGCAGGAAGTCTACTTAAAGAAGACGTATGACCATATAATATTATTTGATTACTTTTTTCTTTATCGTTTTCTTCGTTATCATGTTATCTTGCAGGAAGTCTACGTACTTACAGAAAATATGTAAAATACTTTAATACTTTTCCAACATAAGTCTTAATTATTTTAGGTCCTTTGCAAGTCAAAAAATATGAAATAATTCATACAGTTAAGCAGTTTTGCAGATATTATTGGAAATATACAATGAAGTCTCTGATGTTATACCTAACAATTTATTTAACAAAAATAGTAAATAACTAGTTGTACGAGACAGATCTTCCAAATTTGATTTAGCGAAACTTTTAAAAACAATGAGCAATGAAACAAAATAGGCACTAAATATTAAAAATCCAATCAAATACTTCAAAACTTAACAATTTTTAAAACCATCAAAACTTACTCCTGAGGAATCCCGAGGGGAACTCCTTTCCTGGAATGTTATTTATAAAGCACAAGGACATGCAGACATCCAACAGGGTAGAATCGGTTAAAAATTAACAGTTAAACAAAATAGACGCTAAATATTAAAAATCCAATCAATAACTAAAAACTTAACAATTTTTAAAACCATCAAAACTTACTCCTGAGGAATCCCGAGGGGAACTCCTTTCCTGGAATGTTATTTATAAAGCACAAGGACATGCAGACATCCAACAGGGTAGAATCGGTTAAAAATTAACAGTTAAACAAACTAGACGCTAAATATTAAAAATCCAATCAATAACTACGTTGTTTAAACATTTTTAAAACCATCAAAATTCACGCTCAAGTGACGTAACGAGAAAGAGTTGGGCAGGTGGTGAAATCCACTCCTGGCCCGAGATCCGGAGAAGCCCCAAGGGGATTCCTTTCCTTGAACGTTATTTATTAAGCCCAAGGACACGCAGACTTCCAACAGGGTAGAATCGATTAAAAATTAACAGTTAATCAAAGTAGACGCTAAATATTAAAAATCCAATCAAGAACTACACATTGTTTAAACATTTTTAAAACCTTCAAAAATCACGCTCCACTAATTTAACGAGAGAGAGTTGGGCGGGGGGTGCAATCCACTCCGGGCCCAAGGTCCTGAGGAGCCCCAAGGGGTATGACTCCTTTCCTGAAACGTTATTTATTAAGCGCAAGGACACACAGACATCCAACAGGATAAAATCGGTTAAAAATTAACAGTTAAACAAAGTAGACTCTAAATATTAAAAATCCAATTAAAAACTGCATTGTTTAAACATTTTTAAAACCTTCAAAAATCACGCTCCAGTAATTTAACGAGGGAGAATTGGGCGGGGGGTGCAATCCACTCCGGATCCAAGGTCCATAAAAGCCCCGAGGGGGATGACTCCTTTCCTAGAATGTTATTTCTTAAACGCAAGGGTACGCAGACATCCAACAGGGTAGAATCGGCTAAAAATTAACCGTTAAACAAAATCGACGCTAAATATTAAAAATCCATTTTTAAACCGTCAAAAATCGTGCCCTCTTAAAAATGTTAAAATGCTTTTATTTCTAATCTGAGTTTTAATATTTGGCGATTATTTTGTTTGAGTTCTAATTCTTAACAGTTTCATCAAATCAAGTTTTGTGTCTCGTATAATCGCCTGTTCATATTTTTTGTGCAAAATTAACGTTTTTAATACGCACTAATTCCCGAAACTCATTTGCCTACTTCTACGAAGAGTCGCGATATCTCAAATTGATTGCGCGTGTTTCTTATTGTTTTCCAGCGAATTTAATCTTATACGTTGAAGTTTTGCAACTGTCATTAGATTAATTGATAAATACATTTTTTATTAAAACAAATACAACTTAATCCGATTAACTTCCAAAAGAACTTTCAACTGACGCGTACTTACACGTGTTTGACGCACGCATTGTGAGCATCTTCAATCCAAGACTACAATAATAATTGGAGCAAGTCCTTTTCGTTATAATTATTTCTATCGCTACAGTCTCTTTTTTATTTGAAATCTTTTGTTATTCACGCGTGTACATTTTACATTGTACATTCTTATCGCTTGATTTCATTTGTCCTAAAAAGTTGTTTTGCGGTAAGAAATCACAGCTGCCTTCTAACAGACTTTCAAATAAAAGTTTAGATATAAAGCCAAAGAATCTAACAGCAAAACTAACTAGTAAGAGTCAGTTAAAACGTCAAATCGTAAGAAGAAGAATTTACAAAATGCAGTTTATATTTGTAAGCTCTAATTAACTTTATAAAAATGCGAGTGTCGTTGTAACTTAATATTGTTTTAGTTTTTTGTCATCTTGGGAATTATACTTGGCGTTATGTCTCAAACTTTTGACCTTTCTAAACATAAAGGTAAGGTAAAATAGATGAGTCCGTTTTATTATCTGTAGCAAAAGTAGTAATAATATACGTATTTGTAAGTACGTAAGTTTAAGCTGTGTGTGACATAATCATCCCTAAAAATGTAATTTATAAACTATAGTTATTATTTAATGAATACTAAAAGTCAATTAGTAAACTAAAAAACGTTTCAATTTTTCTGTTAAGCAGAATAAACTAAGTTATTCTTGGTCAGTAATTACGGAAAGTATTAGACGTGGAATGCAATTTTGGTATTATATGATCTCTTTACAGGGCCGGGAGGGGGGGGTCCCTTAGTAAATTTTGGGGGTTGAAGTAAACTTTACGAGAATTACAGCTTGACTATGTCAGAATGGCAAACAGGCGTTTTTTTAAATACAAAATTCTGCATTGTATTTAACGTAAAAATGATATATCTTTTATGGACGAAACAGTATAATGATAAATGCTGAAGGTCGAATCCTACTGGTTCATTTTATGATAGTAGTATATGTTTGCGAATGGAAAATTCCTAGATGGAGAGTACCTATAATATAATTTCAGAACATCCAGTGTCTTCTCTCTGCGAAATTTGCTACTTATAGTAATTCATTATCAAAAAGTTGTTCGTCCAAAGACCAATTGAACACTGACTTCCACTTCTTTGCACTTTCAGAAATCGATAACATCCTTTTTAAATATGGATTATTAGTTCGAACTTATTAACTTTTCATCATAGGCCATTAAAATATATGTTGATGACAACTTATAATAAGTTGAAAATATGGACGGTTTTTACGACATATTGACCAACCGCAACATATTCTGTATAACTTGATCTGCATGACTTAATTGCACTTATCATTAAAGAGGACCTTCCAATTATTTTAAGATTGTATGAATCGGCCATTATTTTTGTAACTGTTTAATTAATATAGTCAGACGTAAACGCAGGGGAGAGTTTTAAACTCCACCCCACCCCTCATTAATAGCTGGTCTTTTCCCTCAATTATGCCGGTAGGCACTTCATATCAGTCAGTATTTATCCATTTACAATATTCTTTCTATTTACTAACAATCCTGTCCGACTGAAATTGTGTTCTGCAATTCCAAAAAGTTTTTTTTTACTTTTTTCATATTCTTTATGACCCCCCCCCCCAAATGTTTTTTGCGTTCGCAACTGAATATAATTCTTGGGAAACCACACGTAACATTCATAAGGACCAAATGAAAAGATCGAAGAAGCATCACATTGGATAATAATAAAATTATTCTTTTGATTTTATAACGATTCCAAACGAGTCATTATCAAAATTTAAATTTTTTGTATTAGATTTTGAACTGATTTTCTCATGTAAAGAATAATGCCTAGGTATAAAATTCAACTAATTTTTATCCGAGATTAGGCAAAAAATTTACCAAAACTGCTTCCAATGATAAATCCCATGCACGGATATGTTTCAGTTCGGCATAAGTAGTCTCAATAAATCATCAAGCATGCCGATGAGATGGATTAGATCAAATAAGATCGAAATCGTAATCCACATAATAGTTTAGATAAATTACTGGCTAAGAACTTAATCCATCCATTAATGTATATTAATCCACTCTTTAATGTATATGTTGCGTCACAGATTAAACAAGAATTTAGATACTTACCTTAGTAAGATCTTTGTCTAAACCATTTGAAATCCCTCATAATTAAGCAACAAAAAACCATTAAATACTGGCATACTGACATAATTTTTCTGTTATTAGCAGTTATTATACTCATAAAATTAATTTGTTTAATGACTTACATAGGTATTAGCCGTGGTAAAAGAAATGATCATCATCATCATCATAATAAAAAGAGCGGACCAGTTTATACTTTCGTAAAGACCGACAAACATGGTAATTACAAATGGGGTGTAAGGCACCATTTAGGCAAAAGGCAAAAAAGGTCCCTAGAATAAGTTATTATTTATTTTGTACAAATTTAATCGTTATAGGTAATGTTAATATTGTTACTTCATCTATTAGGAAGTCCAGTGTAATAATATGAAATGGAATTGTTTGAAGTTTGTAAGTGACTTTCTCTGAGATGTAATTTATTTCAGATTGTTGTATTTAAAATATAAATACAAAATGAAAATACCTATTTCAATTTTCTATTTTAAATGTTTTTCCTAAATATGTACTAGTTTTCTATTTCTATCTGGAGAGCTGTTCTTTTAGAACACATTTACTTTTAGTTGAGTATTAGAAATACGGAATCGTTTAGCAATCACTTTCTTCTTCCAAAATATTGGAAGAAGTGTTATCAATAAAAGGATATCAATTTGATGAATTATATAACATACATCTTCATTCAAATTTTCAAGTCAGCTTTGGTCAATGTTCTTTATTGACGTTGGTGTCGTGAAGGAGGAAATAAATGTATCGCCATGAAGAGGCATGAAAATGTGCATGACATGAATTAGCTTATGGCGTGCTGATGAGATCAAATGGGATCTCCACAAAAAAGAGGTCTTCGTTTAACAAAAATTTTTCAAAACATATTAATAAATCTAATAACACCGTGTGTTATAACCGTCTTTTCTTCTGAATATAAAGAGCAATATTGGAGCATACCATTTGGTATAACATTATAGGAATGTAATAAGGAACAGAGAAATGCATTTTATAACTATTTATTGTTAGTCTTTCAAATTTATACAGCTTACAAGGATTTAAACATGTGTAAAACCCATCAATTACCACCTATTTATTATAAATACATATATCATATGAAAAAGTAACCGAATGGTCGGATCATAAAAAATATACTGTCTATTAATTTTTTCCCTTATACCATTGAGTTGCACTCACTCATCACAATTTCTTAAGGCCTCGATCAGTTCTTCCGTTGAAGGAATTCAATAATTTATCATAAATTAAAATCCTGACAAAGAAATAAACTCATAAATAAATTGCTACGTACACGGAAACACCATATATCATACATATATATATATATATACACAAAATCACACTAATACGCTTGAAGATATGTTGATACGTCCATCGAACCATCAAAGTCCTTTTAGTTAATTCCGTTTTTAATTGGGATCTCAGTATTTTTGATTTCTAGTTCGTAATTCTTCTTAATCGGTTTAGTAACAGTCGTTTCAACATTCCTCTCTGCTTTCGACATCAAAATTGGAACTTTGTGCTCCAAGAGCATGTTGCTGTCTGGAGAAAGTCCAATGCAAGCCCTAAGTACGTTTTCGATGCATTCTCTTTGCTTGCAGAGGGCGTTAATGACAGGGGTGTTATTGGGAACCAAAGGTGCTTTGCACAAATAACTCAAGATCGACAGAACTGGATGGAAGGTACAGAAAACTGCCTCGCCTCTCTTCTTAAATTGAATTCTGGAGCACAATTCAGCCAAAACTACGAGATCCAGAATCAGGGGTGTGGCCAGAAGGGAATCCTCGCAGGTGTTGTGGACTACAAGGGTGTTATGGCCACCCATCATGATTTCGGAAATGTACTCGTCCATGGCACGTTTAGAATCAGCTATAAACCAAAAGAAAATAGGTATTAAAACTTATTTCGAACTTGAACGTGGTTAAAGACTTACCAACATAAGGGACGTATTTGATGACTACACAGTGGTCAGGTTTTTCACCAGGTTCGTAGAGTATCCTGTTAGATTCGACCATATCGTCTACGACGTTACTTTTAGAGATTTCTTTGGAACGGAACTGTTGGGGTGCCGACAAGTTCTTTCCATCGTTGTTACCAAGATGATTGTAGCTTACGATACTGACTGGTTTGATTCCGGCAGACACCAAGAAATCTACCAATACACTTTTCAGTTTAGTTTGGCCGGATTTGAAGTCATCTCCAGCGATAAAGACACCAAGTTCCTCTGCCAGTTCTATCACGCCAGGAACAAAAGTGTTTTGAGGAGATCCGTTGATGTAAGTGCACTAAACAAAACAAAAACGTATTTTTTAACACCGGCAGCTCATTGTACGACTATCTGTTCCTCTTACATTACTCTTTACTGATGCCCAAGCGAAGAGGGTGGATGGAGATATTTCCGGATGGTCGTTAGCAATGGCCGCTTCCAAGTTGGCTGCGGTATCATTAGTTCCAGGAATAATGTCGGCAAATCGTTCAGTGTTTGCGGTCCACAAAACAATGACTTGATCCACGCCTGATTTTGTTTTAAAATCTTCGATATCTTTCATTATTTGCTCGACCTGTTGCTTCTTGGTTCCTTTGATGACGTTATCGGCCCTATCAGATTGATTCGCAGCAATAAAATCTGGATTGTAAATTGACGGACGGGGTTTGTAGTCGACCAGGAGAGATCTTAGCTGGTCTTGTAAAAATGGCTCCAGTACTTGCGCTCGCTTGCAGGCGTCTGCAATATTCAATTTTGAAATGTCCCATCCATCAACTTCTATGTCGTCAGGATTGACCATTGGGAGCAGGTTGGAAATTGGTACGTAAACATCTTTGCCATCCGAATCTCCGCCGAGACGTACAGTTGAAGACTGTGTGATTGACCCAAACCTGATAGTTGTTAAAAAAAGAACAACGATGTGAAAATTTGATGAACAAAGATAATCATTAAAGGATTTGATCTTACCAGTTGGCATGTTGAATTCCTTTTTTGGTTGGCCAACTTAAACCAAGTTTGTTGGCAAGGATAGCGGCCGTGAAAGTGCTCCCATTGTTACCACCCCATCCAACAAGCATTACTCCTAATTTGGGAACTTTGCGACCGGTACGGATTTGAAGATGTTCAACATGAGGAGTAGCCTGAGTGCAATTAAATCAGTATTAATAAATAATTGTAAATGTCTACCTTATACTTCAATTATTTGCAAAAAAATACTTTTTACGTAAAAGTATTGAATGTGAATGAAAGATATCCATAAATATTATCTATCTATTATTGCGATAAATTTAAACAAGTTTTAGTTTTTCGCTTGAGAGATATGAGGATCAATGTTATATATATATAGTAATAATTAAGTATGTATTTATAAATAGAACATGCAACAGACTGTCTGACTGCCGTCATCTTATCAGTACCGTCTGCTTCCATTCGAAATCGCCACACATATTTCGCTCACAGTTCGCTCTGAGAATCCATCACGAACAAACTTTCATAAATGCAATACGCACAGGTTTTTTTATGCCGAAAACAGAAATTGTTTCTTCAAGTGGAATTTATAGTATATTACGAGAAACGCCTCTGAACATACTATTTTTTTTTTTTTAATATTAATTGTCTATAATCATTTTAATATGAAATGCAAAAAAGTGAATTTACTTTTCCTAACAAAGCATTCTTATTTAATTAACATTTTCTTACGGTTCGTATTTTTAATTTTGCCATACAAAAAATCTACACAGCTTTCAAAAAACACCCCATTATATCTATCCACAATTAAAAAAAATTAAAAAAAAAACTTACAATGAGTTTATTTTCCTTCTTGCCAACTTTGGTGGTGTGATAATCATAATTGGACTCGATGTAGTTGCTTGTATATTTGACGTTGGGGCTGTTTACAACGACTTCCATGGTGCTGTTTTCTTGGGAGGTTTTTGCGAAAGTAGTCGGCTTAAAAAACGAAAAAACTCGCTTTGGATGGGCTGTGTATAGGTAGTTTCGACGTTTTAGTGAAACTGATGGTCCTGGTACCGATCTAGGGAATTTTTATACGAAAAGCGCAAGCCCGTTATCTAAGATTGATTTCCGCTTCTAGAACAACAAAACGCTTCATTTTAGCACCCATGCAGCCCGAACGTGGTTTTTGTTTTCATCGTTACATAAGAGTTTTTTCTGGAATGTCTATATACAGCTGGATTAGTGTTATTATCTTCAGTTCAGAGAACTGCAAACAATACCGTTAATGACATTCCAGAACTGTTCGTTTGATAAGGCAAAGACATTATTATCACAATTAAGCTGTCATTATCAAGAGTTTTTTTCTTGAATGTGAATGTTTTCTACGCAGTTCAAAGGAGTTTTTTTCCTATATTCTAATCCTTTTGTGGTATATTGTACTTAAGGAGAAAGGTTTTTGATAAATTATCTGCAAATTTACGAAGGATTGAATGGTACAGCAAGGTTTTTTTGAAATTTCCAAAAAATAGAAACTTGCCAAAAAAGTATTTATTAGAATTATCTGGGCACCTCGGTATCAAAAGAAGTCAGTGTGTGAAGAAATGATCATTGAGATCAAAAACAATAAATTATTTCGTAACTTAAACTTTGCGTTCATTATCGTTCGATTCAAAAAATTTTGAAACTTTTAATGGTGGAAGCTATTAATTATTGAGTCTGGTTATAACAACTACAGTTGAATTGCAATAAAAAAAAGTATTCGAAACTTCAAGTACCAATTTTTTTTGTCTCCAAATTATAAAGCTTTTTATAAGTTACTTTAGTTCTTAAATTAGGTTGTCTAATGAGTAGGTGAAATTATGATTAAGGAGAAAGGTTTTTGATGGAATATCTGCAATATTACCTTTCTTATTTTTGTACCAAAAGGATTGAATGGTATAGCAACGTTTTTCTGACATTTATAAAAAATAGAATCTTTTCCAAAAAGTATTTATTAGAATTACCTGGGCACCTCGCTATCAAAAGAAGTCAATTTGTGAAGAAATGATCACTGAGATCAAAAACAATAAATTATTTCGTAACTTAAACTTTGCGTTCATTATCGTTCGATTCAAAAAGTTTTGAAACTTTTAATGGTAGAAGCTATTAATTATTGAGTCTGGTTATAACAACTACAGTTGAATTGCAATAAAAAAAAGTATTCGAAACTTCAAGTACCAATTTTTTTTGTCTCCAAATTATAAAGCTTTTTATAAGTTACTTTAGTTCTTAAATTAGGTTGTCTAATGAGTAGGTGAAATTATGATTAAGGAGAAAGGTTTTTGATGGAATATCTGCAATATTACCTTTCTTATTTTTGTACCAAAAGGATTGAATGGTATAGCAACGTTTTTCTGACATTTATAAAAAATAGAATCTTTTCCAAAAAGTATTTATTAGAATTACCTGGGCACCTCGCTATCAAAAGAAGTCAATTTGTGAAGAAATGATCACTGAGATCAAAAACAATAAATTATTTCGTAACTTAAACTTTGCGTTCATTATCGTTCGATTCAAAAAGTTTTGAAACTTTTAATGGTAGAAGCTATTAATTATTGAGTCTGGTTATAACAACTACAGTTGAATTGCAATAAAAAAAAGTATTCGAAACTTCAAGTACCAATTTTTTTTGTCTCCAAATTATAAAGCTTTTTATAAGTTACTTTAGTTCTTAAATTAGGTTGTCTAATGAGTAGGTGAAATTATGATTAAGGAGAAAGGTTTTTGATGGAATATCTGCAATATTACCTTTCTTATTTTTGTACCAAAAGGATTGAATGGTATAGCAACGTTTTTCTGACATTTATAAAAAATAGAATCTTTTCCAAAAAGTATTTATTAGAATTACCTGGGCACCTCGCTATCAAAAGAAGTCAATTTGTGAAGAAATGATCACTGAGATCAAAAACAATAAATTATTTCGTAACTTAAACTTTGCGTTCATTATCGTTCGATTCAAAAAGTTTTGAAACTTTTAATGGTAGAAGCTATTAATTATTGAGTCTGGTTATAACAACTACAGTTGAATTGCAATAAAAAAAAGTATTCGAAACTTCAAGTACCAATTTTTTTTGTCTCCAAATTATAAAGCTTTTTATAAGTTACTTTAGTTCTTAAATTAGGTTGTCTAATGAGTAGGTGAAATTATGATTAAGGAGAAAGGTTTTTGATGGAATATCTGCAATATTACCTTTCTTATTTTTGTACCAAAAGGATTGAATGGTATAGCAACGTTTTTCTGACATTTATAAAAAATAGAATCTTTTCCAAAAAGTATTTATTAGAATTACCTGGGCACCTCGCTATCAAAAGAAGTCAATTTGTGAAGAAATGATCACTGAGATCAAAAACAATAAATTATTTCGTAACTTAAACTTTGCGTTCATTATCGTTCGATTCAAAAAGTTTTGAAACTTTTAATGGTAGAAGCTATTAATTATTGAGTCTGGTTATAACAACTACAGTTGAATTGCAATAAAAAAAAGTATTCGAAACTTCAAGTACCAATTTTTTTTGTCTCCAAATTATAAAGCTTTTTATAAGTTACTTTAGTTCTTAAATTAGGTTGTCTAATGAGTAGGTGAAATTATGATTAAGGAGAAAGGTTTTTGATGGAATATCTGCAATATTACCTTTCTTATTTTTGTACCAAAAGGATTGAATGGTATAGCAACGTTTTTCTGACATTTATAAAAAATAGAATCTTTTCCAAAAAGTATTTATTAGAATTACCTGGGCACCTCGCTATCAAAAGAAGTCAATTTGTGAAGAAATGATCACTGAGATCAAAAACAATAAATTATTTCGTAACTTAAACTTTGCGTTCATTATCGTTCGATTCAAAAAGTTTTGAAACTTTTAATGGTAGAAGCTATTAATTATTGAGTCTGGTTATAACAACTACAGTTGAATTGCAATAAAAAAAAGTATTCGAAACTTCAAGTACCAATTTTTTTTGTCTCCAAATTATAAAGCTTTTTATAAGTTACTTTAGTTCTTAAATTAGGTTGTCTAATGAGTAGGTGAAATTATGATTAAGGAGAAAGGTTTTTGATGGAATATCTGCAATATTACCTTTCTTATTTTTGTACCAAAAGGATTGAATGGTATAGCAACGTTTTTCTGACATTTATAAAAAATAGAATCTTTTCCAAAAAGTATTTATTAGAATTACCTGGGCACCTCGCTATCAAAAGAAGTCAATTTGTGAAGAAATGATCACTGAGATCAAAAACAATAAATTATTTCGTAACTTAAACTTTGCGTTCATTATCGTTCGATTCAAAAAGTTTTGAAACTTTTAATGGTAGAAGCTATTAATTATTGAGTCTGGTTATAACAACTACAGTTGAATTGCAATAAAAAAAAGTATTCGAAACTTCAAGTACCAATTTTTTTTGTCTCCAAATTATAAAGCTTTTTATAAGTTACTTTAGTTCTTAAATTAGGTTGTCTAATGAGTAGGTGAAATTATGATTAAGGAGAAAGGTTTTTGATGGAATATCTGCAATATTACCTTTCTTATTTTTGTACCAAAAGGATTGAATGGTATAGCAACGTTTTTCTGACATTTATAAAAAATAGAATCTTTTCCAAAAAGTATTTATTAGAATTACCTGGGCACCTCGCTATCAAAAGAAGTCAATTTGTGAAGAAATGATCACTGAGATCAAAAACAATAAATTATTTCGTAACTTAAACTTTGCGTTCATTATCGTTCGATTCAAAAAGTTTTGAAACTTTTAATGGTAGAAGCTATTAATTATTGAGTCTGGTTATAACAACTACAGTTGAATTGCAATAAAAAAAAGTATTCGAAACTTCAAGTACCAATTTTTTTTGTCTCCAAATTATAAAGCTTTTTATAAGTTACTTTAGTTCTTAAATTAGGTTGTCTAATGAGTAGGTGAAATTATGATTAAGGAGAAAGGTTTTTGATGGAATATCTGCAATATTACCTTTCTTATTTTTGTACCAAAAGGATTGAATGGTATAGCAACGTTTTTCTGACATTTATAAAAAATAGAATCTTTTCCAAAAAGTATTTATTAGAATTACCTGGGCACCTCGCTATCAAAAGAAGTCAATTTGTGAAGAAATGATCACTGAGATCAAAAACAATAAATTATTTCGTAACTTAAACTTTGCGTTCATTATCGTTCGATTCAAAAAGTTTTGAAACTTTTAATGGTAGAAGCTATTAATTATTGAGTCTGGTTATAACAACTACAGTTGAATTGCAATAAAAAAAAGTATTCGAAACTTCAAGTACCAATTTTTTTTGTCTCCAAATTATAAAGCTTTTTATAAGTTACTTTAGTTCTTAAATTAGGTTGTCTAATGAGTAGGTGAAATTATGATTAAGGAGAAAGGTTTTTGATGGAATATCTGCAATATTACCTTTCTTATTTTTGTACCAAAAGGATTGAATGGTATAGCAACGTTTTTCTGACATTTATAAAAAATAGAATCTTTTCCAAAAAGTATTTATTAGAATTACCTGGGCACCTCGCTATCAAAAGAAGTCAATTTGTGAAGAAATGATCACTGAGATCAAAAACAATAAATTATTTCGTAACTTAAACTTTGCGTTCATTATCGTTCGATTCAAAAAGTTTTNTTTAACTTCCCAAAAATCTAAAAACTGCGAATTTCATCTCAGATGCTGTAAATATTTTCAATTAATTCCATTTTTTTTAACGTTCTAGAAAGCATATCTTTTTTATTTATTTTTTGGCTAGAACATTAATGTGTATGACTTTTCGTCTTTAAGACGGATATCGCATTTATTTATCGCGCTTGCGATTAAGAAAGTTTGCAAATGATTTTAATTAATCAATGAAAGATTAATAAAGCCAGACAGACGGCCATGACTAAGAATAAAATTCGTCGCATAAAAAAAGATTTCCTCTACAATCCCATAATAAGTACGTAAGATAAGATAAATCGCACTTTTAAGTTCATGAATGGTGTACTGATCGGGACCAGAGTCGATCATCTCCAAATATTTTTTTTTTGTTGCAGTTATATAATGATAATAAATAATTACTTAATCAGGGAAATAAAACTGTTTATAAACAAGCACTGTTATATGACAATAAATATAAAGCTTTTTATAAGTTACTTTAGTTCTTAAATTAGGTTGTCTAATGAGTAGGTGAAATTATGATTAAGGAGAAAGGTTTTTGATGGAATATCTGCAATATTACCTTTCTTATTTTTGTACCAAAAGGATTGAATGGTATAGCAACGTTTTTCTGACATTTATAAAAAATAGAATCTTTTCCAAAAAGTATTTATTAGAATTACCTGGGCACCTCGCTATCAAAAGAAGTCAATTTGTGAAGAAATGATCACTGAGATCAAAAACAATAAATTATTTCGTAACTTAAACTTTGCGTTCATTATCGTTCGATTCAAAAAGTTTTGAAACTTTTAATGGTAGAAGCTATTAATTATTGAGTCTGGTTATAACAACTACAGTTGAATTGCAATAAAAAAAAGTATTCGAAACTTCAAGTACCAATTTTTTTTGTCTCCAAATTATAAAGCTTTTTATAAGTTACTTTAGTTCTTAAATTAGGTTGTCTAATGAGTAGGTGAAATTATGATTAAGGAGAAAGGTTTTTGATGGAATATCTGCAATATTACCTTTCTTATTTTTGTACCAAAAGGATTGAATGGTATAGCAACGTTTTTCTGACATTTATAAAAAATAGAATCTTTTCCAAAAAGTATTTATTAGAATTACCTGGGCACCTCGCTATCAAAAGAAGTCAATTTGTGAAGAAATGATCACTGAGATCAAAAACAATAAATTATTTCGTAACTTAAACTTTGCGTTCATTATCGTTCGATTCAAAAAGTTTTGAAACTTTTAATGGTAGAAGCTATTAATTATTGAGTCTGGTTATAACAACTACAGTTGAATTGCAATAAAAAAAAGTATTCGAAACTTCAAGTACCAATTTTTTTTGTCTCCAAATTATAAAGCTTTTTATAAGTTACTTTAGTTCTTAAATTAGGTTGTCTAATGAGTAGGTGAAATTATGATTAAGGAGAAAGGTTTTTGATGGAATATCTGCAATATTACCTTTCTTATTTTTGTACCAAAAGGATTGAATGGTATAGCAACGTTTTTCTGACATTTATAAAAAATAGAATCTTTTCCAAAAAGTATTTATTAGAATTACCTGGGCACCTCGCTATCAAAAGAAGTCAATTTGTGAAGAAATGATCACTGAGATCAAAAACAATAAATTATTTCGTAACTTAAACTTTGCGTTCATTATCGTTCGATTCAAAAAGTTTTGAAACTTTTAATGGTAGAAGCTATTAATTATTGAGTCTGGTTATAACAACTACAGTTGAATTGCAATAAAAAAAAGTATTCGAAACTTCAAGTACCAATTTTTTTTGTCTCCAAATTATAAAGCTTTTTATAAGTTACTTTAGTTCTTAAATTAGGTTGTCTAATGAGTAGGTGAAATTATGATTAAGGAGAAAGGTTTTTGATGGAATATCTGCAATATTACCTTTCTTATTTTTGTACCAAAAGGATTGAATGGTATAGCAACGTTTTTCTGACATTTATAAAAAATAGAATCTTTTCCAAAAAGTATTTATTAGAATTACCTGGGCACCTCGCTATCAAAAGAAGTCAATTTGTGAAGAAATGATCACTGAGATCAAAAACAATAAATTATTTCGTAACTTAAACTTTGCGTTCATTATCGTTCGATTCAAAAAGTTTTGAAACTTTTAATGGTAGAAGCTATTAATTATTGAGTCTGGTTATAACAACTACAGTTGAATTGCAATAAAAAAAAGTATTCGAAACTTCAAGTACCAATTTTTTTTGTCTCCAAATTATAAAGCTTTTTATAAGTTACTTTAGTTCTTAAATTAGGTTGTCTAATGAGTAGGTGAAATTATGATTAAGGAGAAAGGTTTTTGATGGAATATCTGCAATATTACCTTTCTTATTTTTGTACCAAAAGGATTGAATGGTATAGCAACGTTTTTCTGACATTTATAAAAAATAGAATCTTTTCCAAAAAGTATTTATTAGAATTACCTGGGCACCTCGCTATCAAAAGAAGTCAATTTGTGAAGAAATGATCACTGAGATCAAANTGTACAACAAAAAAGGTTTTCAGGAAAAAAGTTTTACAAAATACCTTAATGTTATATTTGGGAGTGCCGGTGCTTCCTCCAGGTCCTAACAATCTTTTGAACGTTGTCTTAATTTGTTCTTCATAAAATTCTTTTGTATCAGTTATGTTGAGTGTTTCAGTTAAGACAGCAAATTTCAAAATAAGTAGCAAACTGTCTTCAAATACTCTGATTTTATCTGCTTTTGTACAGTAATCCTCAGCATTTGAAAGGGCTGGTACTGTAACATTTATTTTGTAATCGGTGTAAAATTATTTCATTTTTTGTAATACTTAAAACTTGTTTGGCAAGCGTCTCAATAATATTAAATTGTGTCTTCTTAGAGACATTTCGAAATAAGAAGTAGAACATTTGGGACAGATCCGGATGCAAATATCTACGTCTTTGTAAAATTTGTATGTCTGAAGGTGGCAGTTGTAACATAGGATGATCCTTAAATGTTAAAATTATTTTTTATTGATGAAACGTTTGCTTCTTTCTAAAAATTAACTAACAGGGAAATGAAAATAGAAAATTAGGAAAATAGAATAGAAAAAATTCGCAAAAGTTGTAAAAAGGAAAAAGAGGAGTTAAGAAGAAACGACGGATAGCATCGTTTATCTTTGACTTACATGATATTGATTAAGATGGAAAACGCTGAACACAAAATTTTGAGCGATTAACCGTTCGTTTTTAACAAAGAACTTTTGCTTCATATATTTAATTACTATTTTTCTTACGTCTTCGTTATGATCTATAATGAGGCTAATAAAGAGCAAAAAGTATGTATCTTTTAACTGACTTATTTTATTATTTAATCAATACATTCTTTTCAAATGGTACAAGTCAATGAAAATTGCTTAGAAAATGACTAGAAATTAATAAGATTTTTAAATTTTGATGAATCTCGTGATTTTAAAATTCGATTTTTGAATTAAGAGAGCGCAAGTTGCATAAGTATGTAATAAAACATTTCTCACACTTTTCGTCTAAACACAACTTTAGTAGTGATTATGGTATCAAATTCCTAATTTTATTAAAAGTAATTAAAAATTGTCTAACTATCTGAAACTAGATGGATACGATTTTGTAAGAAAATTTAAGCATTGGCCTTTGTAATTTATGTTCAATTATTTTAGATTTTTGAAAGCAAGGGTTACGATCTAAGTTTTTTAACATTTCTGATTTCCAAAAGTGTATCTATGATGTGTATAAAACCGATAAAACCCTGCTTAGTAAACGTCAGTATTTGCTTGTTAGCGTTTTTAAATTAACTAATTCAGAGATAAATTGTATTTTTAAAACATTCTAGTTCACTTTGTAATCCATTAAAATAAATTTGAATGTATTGATCGTATGTTTTAAGTGGTAATGCAGTGATAATGTTTTCAAAAGTTATTAGATAGGTTATATGGGTTATACGGTTCGTAGTTGGTGGTTACTACAGTTCGTACTGCCTAATACGACAAAAAGGAAGCATCACATCAATTAATACTTAATTCTAGATGTTATATTTATCTTAGGTGATAAATAAAACAAGTCAAAAGTGTTAATATTTTCCTTTGAAGGATCATGTCATTTCCTGTGTGATGAGGCTGCTGCATATCTTGGAAAAGTGAGTTTATGTAATTAGTTCTTTATCATTTTATTTCTTTATTGACAGTTTATTTAATTGATAAGTAGTAATAATTCATTTATTGATATAATTGTCTATATTTGGAAAATGTTGAAAGCTGAACGATACCTACATTTGTTGTCGGCATATTTAACTTGCTGCACTACGAGTACTATCAAATTTAATAATATTGCATTACTGTTTTCCTTATTATATTTATTACATATTTTGCAAATGTACACTTTTCTTAATGACAATGTTAAAATACAAGCTTTTATTTTGGGGACAAAATATACAATCAATTTTATTGAATTCAGTTACAATTTTTGTTGTGTGCACTCCTTTGAATAATTCAAGTAACCAAATATTAGCATATTTCTATGTTTGTATGTTGTGCCAAGTTTTTTCTTATCTGTTGAAAATTCAGTTTATATGATTTTTCATGGTCATACCCTGCTAAATTAATTGCTATAAATCTATACTATAAATAAAGTCCATTTGTTCAGGTACATATGATTTCTCATACATAAACTTGCTGCTCTGTTTCTTGTAGAATTCGAGGAAATTTTCCACTGCATGTTTCAAAACATTATCTTCACATACAAGATTCTTAATCTAAAATAAGAGCATGATTTTAAAATTTTATATTACTTTTTTCAGAACATTTAAAATGTAAGGTACTATTAAAACAGTCCAATTAACAGACTTATATTACTACTGCTTTGCTAAAGTGAGAAAATATTTAAAACAAATTATTTAAATTAATTAAGAAATTTGTGCAATTATTTTGTAACCATTTATATTGAATTTCATATTTTGTTGTCATTCATTAAATAGCAAAATGGCCTGCCATATTAATTATTAGTGGATAATTAATTTCTTCTAAATATTGTTTGTTGTCTTCCATTAAATATACTTACATCATCAAAAAAGCCTTTGATGAAAATGACAGTAGTTCTACAAATTAATTCCAATGTGTTGCAATAGTTTAGTCCAATTTTTTCTGGAAGTTCAAGGAGAGTCTTTAAAACCACTTTGAGAACACCATGTTGATTCTAAAAATGAAAATAAAATGTACAACAAAAAAGGTTTTCAGGAAAAAAGTTTTACAAAATACCTTAATGTTATATTTGGGAGTGCCGGTGCTTCCTCCAGGTCCTAACAATCTTTTGAACGTTGTCTTAATTTGTTCTTCATAAAATTCTTTTGTATCAGTTATGTTGAGTGTTTCAGTTAAGACAGCAAATTTCAAAATAAGTAGCAAACTGTCTTCAAATACTCTGATTTTATCTGCTTTTGTACAGTAATCCTCAGCATTTGAAAGGGCTGGTACTGTAACATTTATTTTGTAATCGGTGTAAAATTATTTCATTTTTTGTAATACTTAAAACTTGTTTGGCAAGCGTCTCAATAATATTAAATTGTGTCTTCTTAGAGACATTTCGAAATAAGAAGTAGAACATTTGGGACAGATCCGGATGCAAATATCTACGTCTTTGTAAAATTTGTATGTCTGAAGGTGGCAGTTGTAACATAGGATGATCCTTAAATGTTAAAATTATTTTTTATTGATGAAACGTTTGCTTCTTTCTAAAAATTAACTAACAGGGAAATGAAAATAGAAAATTAGGAAAATAGAATAGAAAAAATTCGCAAAAGTTGTAAAAAGGAAAAAGAGGAGTTAAGAAGAAACGACGGATAGCATCGTTTATCTTTGACTTACATGATATTGATTAAGATGGAAAACGCTGAACACAAAATTTTGAGCGATTAACCGTTCGTTTTTAACAAAGAACTTTTGCTTCATATATTTAATTACTATTTTTCTTACGTCTTCGTTATGATCTATAATGAGGCTAATAAAGAGCAAAAAGTATGTATCTTTTAACTTAATCACATCATTATCTATACATTCCATTATTATTTTTGCACTTGCTAATCGAACAGACGCATTATTTTGATCTATAACTGTAAAAAGATGTGGAATGATAGGATCAAAGTATTCAAAGTAGCTGGAAAAAAAGGAAAAATATTAATTAAACAAATTAAGAACAGATTAATAAAACATTCATGTACATACATGTGACATAAGTCATAAAGAGCATACAGTGCGGGTAGCTGGACATTTGGATCAGAATAATGCAAAGTTTTTTGTAAAACCTGTGACAATTCTAAACTGTCATCTCCTCCTCTCTGTATCATTATTTTTGAGTAAAGGATTAGACATTGAGTCCACACAGATGAGTATCTCGACAGGAATTCTGCGAGAATAAATTCAAACCCTACATTTATACCGCTAATAGTAAGGAGATTACAAGTAAAAGAAAGATAACACCAAATGAACTGAAAGAGAATTGATAAATACTGACTACTGTCATTTTATTAAACTCTAAATGTGTGTTATAAAAAATAATTCTAACGAAAATATTGTTACACCGTCCTTGCATTACCTCTTAAAGCTAGATTTTCATGTTCAGGGTTCACAATGCTTTTCAGTAAGTCTAAATTGTCTGCAGGTACAGAATCCACACAATCTTTTGAAATAGTAATCAATTCTGCTGTGTACACAATATCTCTTTCAACTTCAACTACACACTCCAAATTTTTCGTTATAATACATGTCAAAGATCTCTGTAATCGACCATTTAAGATCTACAATGGGAGAACTAAGTAACTTGTTTATACCAAACAAATAACATAAACATTACTTACGCTTAACGCATCTTTTGCCCAATTGGGAAAAGTTGCTGATAAGTTAGATATTGTTGAAATAAGTTCCACAACTGCTGGTAAACAATTTAAAGGGAACACTAAGGATATGAAATTGTTACATAAAAGGGACAGTATCATTCGCAATGAGCACATCTCTTGTTCATTATTCACACTTCTGTTCATCAACATACCGTTAAAGCTGCTGAACATGTAAACCGATGTTTCAGAGAATGTTTTTGTCTGTAATACGCAGAAAAAAATAATCAGAAAATTAAAGAGAAAAACCAACTCGACGGCAGGGAATGCTTGGGACCTAGCAGAAATTTCAAGGAATGTTGGAGCAGAATATTTCTCTTTGATATATCTGCAAAGAATGTTATGATAATGTAAACAGCAAAGATATGGAACAAAGAAGTTCATGGGGGTCAGTCGAACATAAAGAAATGAACTTAATTCAGGAAAAGTACATAAAATGGATTTCTTGATTGTAAAGAAACATACAGATAAAACAAGTAGAAAGCAGTACGAAAAGTATTCAAATATTGAAGATGGAATATGATTAAAGAACATTGCGAGAACTGATAAGAAAAAATGTAGAGTTAAATGGAAGATTCAGGATAGGGAACATAATTTACACTGGGAAGGAGACAAATTATGCAGATATAAGTTAGTAACATATTAAAACAATAATGTCGGGATGAAATGGGGTATAAGCTACACATACTAATAAAAATGCAATCATATAATCACAAGGAGTATTCTGGTTAATGTACCATTGTATAAAAAAGCTATTAATAATCATAAGTAGAAAAATAATTAAGTCATTAAATAAATGCTTACTGTTAAACTCTGAAGAATATAACGTTCAATTTTAAACCAGTCATTAAATTTCACATATTTACATAATAGATTTAGCAATTTCCATGCTGTTGGCTGTTCTTGAAGGCTGTTAATAACGTTTAAAACAAGTTCGTTACTAGAAACAAAAAATATGAAAAAGGTTTTTTTGATTAAAATAGTAAATTGATTTTTACTCAAGTAATTTTTCATCTGCAAATTTTTTAAAAATTTGATCGCAATCAAAATTCTGGGACAAAACTAAATTGGCAATACTCCATGTGTCCATTTTATTATTTTTTGTGTTTGGTTCCCCAAAAATCATTTTCCACAGTTCCTAAAGACAAAGAACCATAAATAAATAATGAGGAGAGTTTAAGAAAAATTACCTTTATAAAGAGGGATGAATTCTCCTTAAACAGTTGGTGAATAAATATACTAACTATCACTTTTACCACATTGTCAGCAAACCCCAAACATGCCTCGATTAATACATGCAAACTACTAATACAAGGTTTGAGATGAAATGGCTTTGCAGTTAAACTTATACTTAACAAAATCTGCAAATAATGGGTGTTTAGATGGGTGTATGTTTTAGTGAAATTACTTTCTTACATCTATTGTTTGTTGTGTTAAAAAATAATCATCACGTAAAATAATGAACTGACATAAAATGTTAATTATTCTTTGATTTGTGGCCACTTTTGTCCACTTAAGATCAACATTTCTTTTTAGTATTATAAGAATTGATTTGGCATTCATTGAATGCAACTCTTCTTCACGACTCAATATTCGCTGTAAAAAAAAACTTAAAATATAATGAAACATTAAAATGAGAAGCAATTACTCTGAGTGCCATTTTAGTAGAAGCGTCATTTATTTTAAGAAGCTCATCTAAATTCCTAATCGCATTTTCCCGAATTTCATTGCAAGAGTCTGCTGTAAGTTTAATTATGTTCTGTGAAAGCATTTCAACGACCACTTCACATTTAGAAAAATGGCCTGAGTCAGGAGGATTTTTTACAATAAATACTGCAATATTGGGAAAATATTGTTTGTAACTTTTGTTATCAGACACCATAGCATAAGCTGTCCACTGCACAAACGCTTGGAATTGTTCTAATGGAAGATTCCTTAATAATCCTGCTATTCCCTTAAAAAAAAAGATAAATGAATAAGCATTATATATAAATTTGATGTAATACCTCATAACAATCATATTCAGGTTTAGGAATTATTACTTGTAATGCTTTTACAAGTAAATGTTCATCTTCAATTAACAGAAAGGGTGAAGTGTCTTGAATGAAGTTTTGAACATTTCTTTGAAATACTGAAAGCATTCTAACAGGTGCAGTATTCGACTTAAAACAGGTCATTAAACTTAATACTGTTGCCAGCCTTGCATTACTCATATCTAGTTTTTTGGAATAGTTCTTGTTTATGATGGCTTGATAGCAACGAAAAGCTAAATAGGCAGTTTTTCCTCCGTGAAGATTCATACCTTCTGCAAAATAAATGATATACATAGGGGATTTAATTACTGAGGTACATTTATTAGCACAAGTTACCATCAGAAAAAGTTTCAAAAACTGTAGTGTTTTCAAGAAAAACAAATTCTGATAAAGAGCTTATAGTATGTAATAAACTATTCTGATTGAGTGCTGTCCTTGATTGTGATAAAAACATTCTCAAATCATCCAAAAACATAAGTAATGGCGATTCTTTATAATTTGCTATCCTTATATAGTCCAGAATTTTTACTACTTCAATATAAACATCATTAAAAAATACAATGTTCTCTGAATTTTGTAAGTAATTTAAAGTTAAATATAAACTGCCAACATTAATCAATAAGGTAATATTATCAGCTTGTCCTTCAGCATCGATTCTTGTAAGCATAAAATAAATAAGAGAACAAAGGTATTTGTAATCCAATTCTTCAAATAAGTTTGAATTTTCTNTGAATTTTGTAAGTAATTTAAAGTTAAATATAAACTGCCAACATTAATCAATAAGGTAATATTATCAGCTTGTCCTTCAGCATCGATTCTTGTAAGCATAAAATAAATAAGAGAACAAAGGTATTTGTAATCCAATTCTTCAAATAAGTTTGAATTTTCTTGTAAACAGTTTTTGGCCTTCAAAACACATTCTCCAAAAAACTCTTCCAGTTGAAGTGGTAAATGTCTTTGAAACTCTTGTTCCTCTAAATCATTAATATTTTCAGTACTTCTTCCTTTCAACTTGGCCCACAATTTATGAATCACATTATGGGTCTTCAGTTGACTTCTCTGATAGGCAACTGTTTGTTTTAAATCCATTGCGTTAAAAGAGTATAAATTAAAAATATAATCGCTCAAATACGGTTTTTTAAACATATACTATTTAAATAAACTTAAATTTCGTTGAGTATAGAAATAAGATCCACTTAAATTAATGTCTGTAGTTTGCACTTTCAACATATTATTCACAATAACTAATTTCTATAGTAATAAATAATGCCTTAAATAAATTTTCACAAAGTTACAAAGATGTAAATATTAAAGGTATTCAAGGAGTTATTGAATGAACATTTAAAATGCTGAAGATTAACAGGTTATGTTGGCTTTTATATTTATTTTTGTGTGATAATACTGTTCTATGAAACTAACTAGCCATAACTATAGATACGACTATAACTGCCATATACACATAATTATTGGGCGTGTCTCCTGCACGGTCCAACGACCACAATTTATTAATTAATCGCTGCTGGAATCTACAGCATAGTATAAAACCGATAAAACCCTGCTTAGTAAACGTCAGTATTTGCTTGTTAGCGTTTTTAAATTAACTAATTCAGAGATAAATTGTATTTTTAAAACATTCTAGTTCACTTTGTAATCCATTAAAATAAATTTGAATGTATTGATCGTATGTTTTAAGTGGTAATGCAGTGATAATGTTTTCAAAAGTTATTAGATAGGTTATATGGGTTATACGGTTCGTAGTTGGTGGTTACTACAGTTCGTACTGCCTAATACGACAAAAAGGAAGCATCACATCAATTAATACTTAATTCTAGATGTTATATTTATCTTAGGTGATAAATAAAACAAGTCAAAAGTGTTAATATTTTCCTTTGAAGGATCATGTCATTTCCTGTGTGATGAGGCTGCTGCATATCTTGGAAAAGTGAGTTTATGTAATTAGTTCTTTATCATTTTATTTCTTTATTGACAGTTTATTTAATTGATAAGTAGTAATAATTCATTTATTGATATAATTGTCTATATTTGGAAAATGTTGAAAGCTGAACGATACCTACATTTGTTGTCGGCATATTTAACTTGCTGCACTACGAGTACTATCAGATTTAATAATATTGCATTACTGTTTTCCTTATTATATTTATTACATATTTTGCAAATGTACACTTTTCTTAATGACAATGTTAAAATACAAGCTTTTATTTTGGGGACAAAATATACAATCAATTTTATTGAATTCAGTTACAATTTTTGTTGTGTGCACTCCTTTGAATAATTCAAGTAACCAAATATTAGCATATTTCTATGTTTGTATGTTGTGCCAAGTTTTTTCTTATCTGTTGAAAATTCAGTTTATATGATTTTTCATGGTCATACCCTGCTAAATTAATTGCTATAAATCTATACTATAAATAAAGTCCATTTGTTCAGGTACATATGATTTCTCATACATAAACTTGCTGCTCTGTTTCTTGTAGAATTCGAGGAAATTTTCCACTGCATGTTTCAAAACATTATCTTCACATACAAGATTCTTAATCTAAAATAAGAGCATGATTTTAAAATTTTATATTACTTTTTTCAGAACATTTAAAATGTAAGGTACTATTAAAACAGTCCAATTAACAGACTTATATTACTACTGCTTTGCTAAAGTGAGAAAATATTTAAAACAAATTATTTAAATTAATTAAGAAATTTGTGCAATTATTTTGTAACCATTTATATTGAATTTCATATTTTGTTGTCATTCATTAAATAGCAAAATGGCCTGCCATATTAATTATTAGTGGATAATTAATTTCTTCTAAATATTGTTTGTTGTCTTCCATTNCCTGTCTGAAAGGAAGTAACGCTAGAGTAGACTCGCGAAAAGTGTATAAGACACTTTTAAGATCAACTAAATAGCTAAGCCCAAGGGAAGTCGTTCGGGGAGGCCCTCCCTAATTCCACAAGGGTGAGAAGAAACACACACGATAACGAAACGTTGAATCATGTAGAACTCGTAGGGTAAATGCAAAGCAATTTATAGTAAGAATATGCAGTAAGCTAAGCGAAGAGGTAAGCAAGGTTAAACTATACTACAACTACTAAACGTGTTAGTTTTACTACTACTACATACAAAAATAAAAACATCTACAATCAACAATTACTTCAAATAAAATGAACAAACACTACTACTACATACTAAAAAAAAATAAAAACATCTACAATCAACAATCACTTCAAATAAAATGAACAAAAATAAGCATGCAAAATAAAAAATTAATTTGAATAAAATGAACTTAATGAATTCTACTAGATAGAGCATGCAAGATAAACAACTATTTTAACCACGGGGTCATCTTTGTCTTCTCCAACGTCGATCTGAAACAGATACGGTGGTAACAGATTATTAAGAGCAATTAAAGTTAATTCTATATAGTATTCTCACCTTAATTAACTGTAGTGTAATTTTCCAAAGTTTGCAGGTGTGAAAAGCAAACCAAATCCAGGTAGACTACCACAGCAGAAAATTTGTTGTTTCAGTAGAATTCAAATAAATTTTCAGTTGCTTTGACTCATTGGTTGAAGCTTAACTGCATAACGTTGCTAGATGAAGATCAAAACAGCAAATCAAGAATACAGTCCACGAAAGAAGATATCCATGTAGACATTGGTTGTTTCAGAACTTTAATTCTCTCTTATTTGTTCCACAATCTGCAGAAATGAAGAAAAAATATATCAATTAAGGAATAACTACACTCCTATACATAGGATAACATTAATTTAGGCTGTGGACAATAGATAATTGTTAAAAAAATACACATAGATACAAAAATAATCTAAATTTATGCTGTAGTCTAATAAAGATCAATTAATATTCATTCTCACCTTAATTAATTTATTGCAGAAAGTTACAAGTGTGATAAGCAAGCCAAATCCAAGAGGGATACCACTGCAGACAATCTGTGTTTCAGTGGTTTCTATATTAATATCCAATTGTCTCTTCCTCACAAGTTCAAAATTAACTGCAATTCCTTTTCATTGGTTGAAAAATCTATATAAACAAGCAAAAAAAGTAATTAATTGCCATTTTTAAAGCAAGTAAATCAGTAATACTTTAATGTGGCAAAGGTGGTAAAGTTATAAGCAGGCAGGTAACCGACAAAATAATAAATGCACAACATACCTTTCATTAATCTGCAAAATGGGTGCCTGCTACGTTGAAAATTTACAAGTTTAATGCTTCTTTTCCCATATTAAGCCAACAATCAGACTGATGGAAAGATAAGCTCCTTATTAATTCTACTGTTCTGCTTCTGCCATTGCTGAAGGTTGAACTGATAAAAGAAGATTCGATAGGCAAAGCCAGAAAAAAGTGTATTCTTAAGTGTACCTGTAAAAAGAAAAGAACACATTAAAGCCACAAATAATAATTTTGTACAGCAGAAAAAGGTTAACGAATGAAAACAGTAATTTTCTTATAAAAAAACTTTCTAAAATCATCAATACTTTCTACTGAACTGATAACAAGTTTCCACTCTTTTTCTAAATTATCAAATATGGCGAATACATTTACTTACAATTAGTAACTTAATCAATGGGAATCGTAAAAATAATCCGATATTTAATAATAAAAAAACATATAAACGATACAATTGTAATTCCAGAATATAGTGTGATAGAAATTTTGTACGTACTAGCACTTTTTCTAAATTTTTTTAACAAAAATGCATACCATATCACACCTAACAGGAACAAAACGTAATGCAACAAGCAACAGCAGACAGCAGATGAGCAGACCACCACTGAGCTTGAGCGAGTGGAGCGAGAAGGAAGTACGTCATCGACGAAATTTGTTAGTCTCGACGAAGTTCGCATTATATTTAATATGTACTTTGTACTACTTCTTTTTTCTAAATAGTCGTTGGTAGTTGCTTATGCCGGTTTAAAAAATACTGTAATACAATATAAATGCATCCACTGTAACGAATTATCGTGATAATTATATAAAACGAGACATTATTGTGTATAAATAATCACGTAAATGCAACTGGGAACGAGACTACCTGAGCGTTACCGACCTTGACGCAAGGGTACACTGTATTTCTATACTGGCGCGAAATATTTAAAATTCTAATGATAAAACCATTTTTTGAATCGTAGAACAGCAAAGACGTATAATTTTTACTGTTTCTTTCACAGACTGATTTTTGAAAATAATTAATTTATTAAAACTCAGTTTTAATTGTTTCACACGTCCTTAAATGTTATACGATATCTATGAATTATGTTGTTGTTATTAATAATAATGAAAGGAAAATCATAGCTACATAAAACTGATTATCATTGTGACTATAGTCTACATATGTAAATCCAAAATCAACATGAAAGCTTTCTTTTTATTCTTCGAAACATTGTTTAATAAGAATCAAACTCCAAAATACGATACCTATGAATTATGTTATTGTTATTAATAATAATGAAAACGTAGGTAAATGAAAAGAAAATCATAGATACACAATACTAATATCCGTGTGACTATGGTCCCCTGAAATAGATAAGATATATAGTAGTAAAGTAGATATACAGAAAAGTATTACATATTTCTGATCTATGCTGTAGATTCCAGCAGCGATTAATTAATAAATTGTGGTCGTTGGACCGTGCAGGAGACACGCCCAATAATTATGTGTATATGGCAGTTATAGTCGTATCTATAGTTATGGCTAGTTAGTTTCATAGAACAGTATTATCACACAAAAATAAATATAAAAGCCAACATAACCTGTTAATCTTCAGCATTTTAAATGTTCATTCAATAACTCCTTGAATACCTTTAATATTTACATCTTTGTAACTTTGTGAAAATTTATTTAAGGCATTATTTATTACTATAGAAATTAGTTATTGTGAATAATATGTTGAAAGTGCAAACTACAGACATTAATTTAAGTGGATCTTATTTCTATACTCAACGAAATTTAAGTTTATTTAAATAGTATATGTTTAAAAAACCGTATTTGAGCGATATTTTTAATTTATACTCTTTTAACGCAATGGATTTAAAACAAACAGTTGCCTATCAGAGAAGTCAACTGAAGACCCATAATGTGATTCATAAATTGTGGGCCAAGTTGAAAGGAAGAAGTACTGAAAATATTAATGATTTAGAGGAACAAGAGTTTCAAAGACATTTACCACTTCAACTGGAAGAGTTTTTTGGAGAATGTGTTTTGAAGGCCAAAAACTGTTTACAAGAAAATTCAAACTTATTTGAAGAATTGGATTACAAATACCTTTGTTCTCTTATTTATTTTATGCTTACAAGAATCGATGCTGAAGGACAAGCTGATAATATTACCTTATTGATTAATGTTGGCAGTTTATATTTAACTTTAAATTACTTACAAAATTCAGAGAACATTGTATTTTTTAATGATGTTTATATTGAAGTAGTAAAAATTCTGGACTATATAAGGATAGCAAATTATAAAGAATCGCCATTACTTATGTTTTTGGATGATTTGAGAATGTTTTTATCACAATCAAGGACAGCACTCAATCAGAATAGTTTATTACATACTATAAGCTCTTTATCAGAATTTGTTTTTCTTGAAAACACTACAGTTTTTGAAACTTTTTCTGATGGTAACTTGTGCTAATAAATGTACCTCAGTAATTAAATCCCCTATGTATATCATTTATTTTGCAGAAGGTATGAATCTTCACGGAGGAAAAACTGCCTATTTAGCTTTTCGTTGCTATCAAGCCATCATAAACAAGAACTATTCCAAAAAACTAGATATGAGTAATGCAAGGCTGGCAACAGTATTAAGTTTAATGACCTGTTTTAAGTCGAATACTGCACCTGTTAGAATGCTTTCAGTATTTCAAAGAAATGTTCAAAACTTCATTCAAGACACTTCACCCTTTCTGTTAATTGAAGATGAACATTTACTTGTAAAAGCATTACAAGTAATAATTCCTAAACCTGAATATGATTGTTATGAGGTATTACATCAAATTTATATATAATGCTTATTCATTTATCTTTTTTTTTAAGGGAATAGCAGGATTATTAAGGAATCTTCCATTAGAACAATTCCAAGCGTTTGTGCAGTGGACAGCTTATGCTATGGTGTCTGATAACAAAAGTTACAAACAATATTTTCCCAATATTGCAGTATTTATTGTAAAAAATCCTCCTGACTCAGGCCATTTTTCTAAATGTGAAGTGGTCGTTGAAATGCTTTCACAGAACATAATTAAACTTACAGCAGACTCTTGCAATGAAATTCGGGAAAATGCGATTAGGAATTTAGATGAGCTTCTTAAAATAAATGACGCTTCTACTAAAATGGCACTCAGAGTAATTGCTTCTCATTTTAATGTTTCACTTCCTCACAAGTTCAAAATTAACTGCAATTCCTTTTCATTGGTTGAACAATCTATATAAACAAGCAAAAAAAGTAATTAATTGCCATTTTTAAAACAAGTAAATCAGTAATACTTTAATGTAGCAAAGGTGGTAAAGTTATAAGCAGGCAGGTAACCGACAAAATAATAAATGCACAACATACCTTTCATTAATCTGCAAAATGGGTTCCTGCTACGTTGAAAATTTACAAGTTTAATGCTTCTTTTCCCATATTAAGCCAACAATCAGACTGATGGAAAGATAAGCTCCTTATTAATTCTACTGTTCTGCTTCTGCCATTGCTGAAGGTTGAACTGATAAAAGAAGATTCGATAGGCAAAGCCAGAAAAAAGTGTATTCTTAAGTGTACCTGTAAAAAGAAAAGAACACATTAAAGCCACAAATAATAATTTTGTACAGCAGAAAAAGGTTAACGAATGAAAACAGTAATTTTCTTATAAAAAAACTTTCTAAAATCATCAATACTTTCTACTGAACTGATAACAAGTTTCCACTCTTTTTCTAAATTATCAAATATGGCGAATACATTTACTTACAATTAGTAACTTAATCAATGGGAATCGTAAAAATAATCCGATATTTAATAATAAAAAAACAAATAAACATATAAACGATACAATTGTAATTCCAGAATATAGTGTGATAGAAATTTTGTACGTACTAGCACTTTTTCTAAATTTTTTTAACAAAAATGCATACCATATCACACCTAACAGGAACAAAACGTAATGCAACAAGCAACAGCAGACAGCAGATGAGCAGACCACCACTGAGCTTGAGCGAGTGGAGCGAGAAGGAAGTACGTCATCGACGAAATTTGTTAGTCTCGACGAAGTTCGCATTATATTTAATATGTACTTTGTACTACTTCTTTTTTCTAAATAGTCGTTGGTAGTTGCTTATGCCGGTTTAAAAAATACTGTAATACAATATAAATGCATCCACTGTAACGAATTATCGTGATAATTATATAAAACGAGACATTATTGTGTATAAATAATCACGTAAATGCAACTGGGAACGAGACTACCTGAGCGTTACCGACCTTGACGCAAGGGTACACTGTATTTCTATACTGGCGCGAAATATTTAAAATTCTAATGATAAAACCATTTTTTGAATCGTAGAACAGCAAAGACGTATAATTTTTACTGTTTCTTTCACAGACTGATTTTTTGAAAATAATTAATTTATTAAAACTCAGTTTTAATTGTTTCACACGTCCTTAAATGTTATACGATATCTATGAATTATGTTGTTGTTATTAATAATAATGAAAGGAAAATCATAGATACATAAAACTGATTATCATTGTGACTATAGTCTACATATGTAAATCCAAAATCAACATGAAAGCTTTCTTTTTATTCTTCAAAACATTGTTTAATTAGAATCAAACTCCAAAATCATTAAAATAATTAATTTTATGATTTATGGGAATACCAGACAACATGCCAAAATATTGGGACTAACTTTAAAACACTTTTATCGGAACAAAAAAGAAAACAAACCGTTGACTGCTCGCTAGCCACTATGCAAATTCTAAGATATAGACTTATCTATGGATATAAATTTTAATATAACCTGTAACAGTAATGATATTAACCTAAATGAATTGTAATATGAAACAAAGGTTATTAATATATCAACAGTGTGCTCTAAGACATAATAAAAATGTGTTGTTTCAGCAAAATCTTGTTTAGTTATGACATTTAAAAACAATCAGCTGTATTTTTAAAATGACTCGATTTACAAGAGCACAAGGATCTAAGGCATCAAATATACGTGAACCTGAAGAAAGTACGCCATGGCATATCATAAAACTACAATTAGAGGAAAAGAAACACGACAAGTTTGAAGATAACACAGAAGGATATTCGTATAAAAATTATTTAGAAGATAATTCTGAAGAACCTCCAACAAAATGGGTTGATTTTTCTGATGAAGAAAGTGGAGCACAGGAGAAGAAAGTTGATATCAAGAATCACAGAAATAAAATAAATAATAAACACAAAAAGCTTATAAACATTGATGCACAAATTGAGAAAAGTGAAGCTCTGGAATGGGATTCCTCAAAAAAGTTATTCCAAAATAAAAAACAAATGGCAAAATTAACCATTCAGCAAGGAAACACCACAAAATTAGAATATGTTGAAAATAATAGTAAAGAAGACGTAAAAAGAAGTAAAAAACATAAATATCAGGCAGGTAAAGAGGAAGGTCAGGAAACTGAACAGCCTGGAACAGAAAATATATCAAGCAGGAAGAAAACAAAAAAGAACAAGGAAATAAAAGCAGAAAACAAAGTAGTAGAAGAAGAAATAGTTAGCATATCAAAAATTGAAAGTAAAAATAATAGGTTATATAAAAATAACGAGAATGGGTTAAAAAAGAAACAGAATAAACTGAGAAAATCAGACAAAAAGGAAGAGAACAAAAAAATGTTTCACGGTAAAAAACTCAAACAAAATGAAAGAAATGATAAATTTGAAAACAAAAGGACATTTAAAAATGGAAAAGAAAAAAATCGCCGTAAACCGAGACTAGAAGAATGTGTGATAGGTGGAAAAAATGTTATGCTAATGTATATTGATGGATTTCCAGTTAAAAAAGAAGATGGTGAAAAACTTATTCAGCTGCGAAAGGATCTAATTAGTAAAGGGGTTCCAAGGAGTGAAATAGAGAAGGCTATGAAATTGGAGAGAAGAAGAGCTGAGAAAGCACTTGCAAGAGAAAAGAAAAAGCTCTGCTTCAACTGTAGAAGATCAGGACATGTTCTTTCAGAATGTCCAAACATTTCAATGGACATGACAGAGACAACAGCAACTGGCATTTGCTTCAAATGTGGCTCAACCGAACATACACATTTCGAATGCAGAGTTGTAAAAAATGATTCTTACAAATTCGCCCAATGTTTCATATGTAAAGAGCAGGGCCACATTTCGAGACAGTGTCCTGATAATCCCAAAGGATTATATCCACAAGGAGGAGGATGTAACATATGTGGAGATGTAACACATTTGAAGAAGGACTGTCCTGCCTATGTGACACAACAACAGGAAAACAAATTAGTGGTAAATACTATAAATGATGGCAATATTGAAAATATAGGCCACAACTTTAATTTAAAAAATACCAAAAATATAAAAAAGCAAAAAATTGTAAAATTTTAATACAATTTTTGTCAAATGCTTACGTTTCCATTAGATGTTTTTCTTCTTAAGGTATTTTTACCTGAAAGGATATTTGTAAACAGAATATACATCTCTGCTAAGTTANCCAATATTATCCTCTTTCAACATGTTTTCCAGCTGAGATGATCTGGACTTTTCCCTGTTTATTTGGGCAGCCTTTTGATTTTTTTTATAGTTCATTTGTTCCTCAGTCTCCTCTTTAATTACCATATCGCTGTCCAAATACAGTTGCTTTTTGGAAACTTTTGTAGATCCATTTTCGATAACTGTTGAACTATTTGAAACATAATCCAAGGCAGATACAAAAACTTCTGAATTCTCACTCATATCAGGTTTACTCTGCAAGTCATCTGATGCAGAGAGAAAGGTTTCGCTTGTTACAAGAGTTACAGAAATGCCAGCATCTTCTGTAGAAGTAGGAGATTGGTTGCATGAGGGGTTGCTGCAGTCTTCTAGATTTAATTTTCTTATGTTCTCAGTATTTTTTTCTATGCTGGTTCTGTACTTGTCTGCAGCTTTGTATAGCTCATTGTAATAATCGATTAAATTTTGTCTAAAGAAAAGTTAACATTAACAAACTAATATTTTGAAATATAGGATCACATTACGCTTCTTCTTGAAAAATCTTCATTTCAATTATCTCCATTTTCATAACTGCTTCCTTAGTTTGTATTTCTCTTCTCAGTTGTTCAATTTCCTTAATTTTTCTTTTTGTTAGTGCTTCATCATATTGGTTTTTTAAGTAGATAATTTCATTTCTCTTCTTTTCCAGTTTATTTTTTATCCTTTCCTGGCGTTCCACTAGAAAATTCTCAATATAAAGGAATCTCAAACAAAGAGAGTTTAATTTTACATTCAATTCTTCTTAAAGTAGTTGCTTTCTTTTTGGCTATTAAACCCAGAAAAACGTTTTCTTCAAGTTTTTTCTTTTCGATTAACTCTTTTAAGGATAAATGCGGACCACATTTCGAAATGGCATTTAAATAATAAGTGTAAGTATTTTGCTCTAAAATTAAAAGTTGTTCAGCAGTTACACACGAGTTAAATATTCAAAAATTTCCCTTTTGAAATACTTTCATAGTTTTTTTTTTACTTACATAAACAAAATGTTTTTAATGTATGCTGTGTGTAGTTCATATAGCATGTCCAAGTCTGAAACTTGGGACAATTGTTCTTCAAAAAATTGCCAACTAGTCTGAAGTATTTCCCCGTGAATATAATTTTGCAAAGTTTGTACGAAATGGGTCATAATATGTCTGCATTGATGCAACCTCCTGTACTGATTAGATATTAAAAGTAACGGAACCTTTTTGGCTTCTGTTCTTTTTATAAGACATTTTAATTCCTAAAAACCCAATTGAAAGAAAATTAACGTTTAACTTCTTATTATATGTACATTGAATAATAATATTTGGTAAATTGAACTTACTGAAAACATTTTTTGAAGCACCCATGAAACTCTCCTGAGTTTCAGCAATAATTTAAAAACATCGTCATACTTGTTCAAAATATCGGAAGGAATTAGAATGTTTAGAGGCCAGGTAATTTTATAGGTCAATGAAATACAATCTAAAACCTCTGGATCAGTTAAGTCAAAAGCCTTTGGTAAATTGTTAATACGAAAAGACAATCTATCAGAGTTGTCTTGGATATTAGAGGAATGCCCATCAAAAGCAGTTTGTACCAAGATGTGCAAAGTCCTCCAGTTCACAAGATCGATGGGGAAATTAGCGCTATACAATTTTTCGAATAATTTATCAGTTAAACTTTTTGCAAATTGCCCGTCCAAGAGAAAGAAATAACTTCTCAAACTTATTAAATGTTCTAAACAGCCCAACTCCTCTACGAAGAATTTGAGTAACTCATTGTTGACCAAATTCATTTGCATTTTAAGAGGAATAGCAACACTTTGTTGTAGGTACAATTTCAAACAATTAGCAGACACTTGTTGGGCATCATCTGGCAAAATTCGATCTGGAAGTATATTTTTCTGTAAGTTTCCAGCTATATCGAAGACTGAACTGCTCTTGTGACTTATTTTGAATACAGGCTCTTGCTTTATCGGTTCCAATTTTAAGTCCTCTTCAGATGCAGGAGTTTGTATACTGTCTAGTAAGTCTTCACTGGTTATAGAAACGTAACTTCGTTTGCTAAGGGAAAAGTCACTTGAAGGAGTATCGACAGACATAGGGGTCATTTTACTTCCTCTTGAATCTGGTTTAACTGATTGTAAGTTTAAAGTGAGGTCAACGTTATTCTGAGCCAACTCTGGGAAATTATTTTTTACGTATTCTTCATTAAAAATACACCAGTCTATAGGACTGTTGGTAATACTTCCAACAGCAGCTTTTTCATCTGTAAGTGCCAAATTGGCGTTTGCATCGTTTGGGGTGTAATTATATAAGCCAAGTTCAGTCTCTAGTACTTTCTTTTTATTTCTGCGAGCAATTTGAAAATTTTCTTGGAAAATTTGCGTAAGGGCAGTGACCTCTTTATTTTCAATCGTTATGGAGTTTGAAGATCCCTTTGTACTGTTTAAATTTGCATTAATGATGTCTTCCAAGGAAGACGTTTCGCCATATTCCTGTTCTAGAAATTTTAATTTGTTTTCTTTGGCTTCCTCAAAATTTTGCACTCGATTTTTTGTAAAATTCTCACTGCTTTTACTTTCAATATTCTGTGAAGTGGACCACGAAAAATTATAGGAAAACTTGGGGAGACCAATATTATCCTCCTTCAACATGTTTTCCAGCTGAGATGATCTGGACTTTTCCCTGTTTATTTGGGCAGCCTTTTGATTTTTTTTATAGTTCATTTGTTCCTCAGTCTCCTCTTTAATTACCATATCGCTGTCCAAATACAGTTGCTTTTTGGAAACTTTTGTAGATCCATTTTCGATAACTGTTGAACTATTTGAAACATAATCCAAGGCAGATACAAAAACTTCTGAATTCTCACTCATATCAGGTTTACTCTGCAAGTCATCTGATGCAGAGAGAAAGGTTTCGCTTGTTACAAGAGTTACAGAAATGCCAGCATCTTCTGTAGAAGTAGGAGATTGGTTGCATGAGGGGTTGCTGCAGTCTTCTAGATTTAATTTTCTTATGTTCTCAGTATTTTTTTCTATGCTGGTTCTGTACTTGTCTGCAGCTTTGTATAGCTCATTGTAATAATCGATTAAATTTTGTCTAAAGAAAAGTTAACATTAACAAACTAATATTTTGAAATATAGGATCACATTACGCTTCTTCTTGAAAAATCTTCATTTCAATTATCTCCATTTTCATAACTGCTTCCTTAGTTTGTATTTCTCTTCTCAGTTGTTCAATTTCCTTAATTTTTCTTTTTGTTAGTGCTTCATCATATTGGTTTTTTAAGTAGATAATTTCATTTCTCTTCTTTTCCAGTTTATTTTTTATCCTTTCCTGGCGTTCCACTAGAAAATTCTCAATATAAAGGAATCTCAAACAAAGAGAGTTTAATTTTACATTCAATTCTTCTTAAAGTAGTTGCTTTCTTTTTGGCTATTAAACCCAGAAAAACGTTTTCTTCAAGTTTTTTCTTTTCGATTAACTCTTTTAAGGATAAATGCGGACCACATTTCGAAATGGCATTTAAATAATAAGTGTAAGTATTTTGCTCTAAAATTAAAAGTTGTTCAGCAGTTACACACGAGGTAAACAGTATGGGCCTCTTCTCCAAAATATAACAACACAATGGAGACTAAAATAACATAAATAATTAAAAATGAAATCTTCAAATAAATATCTTACATTTGGGACACAAAGTTTTAACAAGTTCATAGCCTTTCCACAAGCTAAAATGCTATCTTTTAGTTCAATCAAAAAATCTGGCACAACATCTTCTCTAATCGAATAGCTACGGGTCCAGTAAGTTCTACCTCTACTTGAAATATATTTTGGATTCGATTCGACAAAAAATTCTGCCGATGGGTCGTTTAAATCACCTTCTAAAATCCACTGACCTAAAAAGCGACTAAAAACCACATATGTATTTATATGTTGAAAAATAAATGAAAAATAATTATAAATCCAACTAATTACAATATTTGGAATATTTTTTTTACCAAATTGAAAATTAAATCCAACAGATCTATAATAATACGATCAATATTTTTTAATTTTCTATTAAAATTTAGATAAATCAAAAAAGGAACTTACTGATAATAAAGCTGACAACACGGATAAAATACAGCATACAGTACCATAAGAATATCTTTCTTCACTGCACTTAATATTCTTTGATAAAAATAATTTAAAAGCTCCATTCCATGGGGAATTCTCTGATCTTGTTTAAATGGACCAACTTTGCATATGCTTGTAAGAACTTTAAAGTGTTCTTGCAAACTTCTAATATATTCTTGAAGTGCTAACAAGTTTGTTGTATCTGGTAATGAAAGAATTGCTACACGATAGTAGCTTAAATAACGTTTAATACTTTCACACATCTCCTAAAACATTTTGATATCTGTTTATCTTCTTTAATCCAAAAGTAGCTACATATTTGTACATTACAAGAAACAAAGTTTTGACTTAAAAAAAAAACAATAATTTAAACGAAAAAAATACCTTGAAAATGTGCCCCTCTTGTTTGTATTTTCCAGAAAAGCAATCTGTAGTAGTCAGGTCAGCTAATCCTTTATAACAAGAACCACAATATAACATATTTTGGGAATAAGAATTTGCTGCAGTAATACTTAATCCTTGAACAACTGTGTTAGGTACAAAACAAAGTTCACCTTCCTCAGATAATTGAAAGGTTTTTGAAGTGATTCCAACTAAAAAAAAGGGATAAGTTGTGAAAATGACAGAAACCCTTAATATTAAGTTCTACTCTAACCATGCACCTTATATATTATGTAAAAATAATAATTTTAATTTTTACTGGTAATAAGTAAATAAAGAAAACTATATAATATATGAGAAAAATCTTACCTAATAAGTATTTGACATCTTTAACAAATTCTCTATATGAAATATTAGTCACTGAATTTGATGCAGCATTAAGGTCTTTTACAATTAAATTATCCATATAAGAAGTTTTTAAGTTTTGCATCCATATACTGACTTTAGAAGTTGCCTCAGTAACAAAAGGAAGTTCTTTTTTAGGCTCTGCAATGCCTGCACTTTCCCAGGTCCTTCGTTCACTAATACTTGATTTACACGCGATATCCCAAACATCATCACTGCCACTTTCATCACCATCTTCTTCATTACTGTTATCTTTTAAGTGAAAAAAAATCAGTTGTAATCCTTACCTATTGTATATTACATTTATTAGATCCTAATCACCTTGATTGTTATCTCTTTGAAGCATACAACTTTCATCATCAGAGAATATGCTTCTAGGACTTTTAAAATTAGTATTACTATTTTTATTAGTATCACAGTACTGAGATAATGAATCTTTTTTTCTTAAATTTCCAATTACATCTTGTTTTGATATTGTACTTTTTAAATGGAAATCATTGTCTGAATATTTAATTTTTGTAGAAAGTGGTTCAGGATGAAACTTTGAAGTCTCTAGAAAAGGATATAATTGTCGATTAAATAGACCTCCCTAAAACAAAGTCATTTAACTATATATATCACTATTTGTTACGTAACAGTATTCCCTTACGTTATTTTTATTTGATGGAGAATTTTTAAGACTTATAAGTAAATAAAGAACTCTTTGGAAACTATCTTCTTTTATATTTAATCTTCTGATTTTTTCATAAACATCTTTTAATTTATCTGCATATTTAAAATTGTTGTATTTTGTTCTTAGAAGAAATTCCCAAGCCAGTAAATGACACAGAGGATCATCTGTACTCTCCAATCCTTCTACACCACCTGAATAGAGCATTCTGTAATAAATTTCCACATAATTTCAGTAAAATACACTTTTTACCGCTCTGTATGTTCTTCTTTAAAAGTAAAATATCAAAGCATTTAGAACGTAGAGATTTTACTACATTGTCGTTTGGAAATATATTTGAATGAGGGGCAGCATATTTTTCACACAATTTTGTTAGTAAATTAAATATACTTTCATTTTCTAAACTATTGTACACTAAATCCATGAGACAATCATCTTTAAAGTTACACATTACAAAGGGCCGCTTCTTTTGACATAAACACAAATAATTTACTTATATTTTTATGAGGTTATGGTAAATTTGACTTTTGATTAGCGGTAAAAATGAAGATGTATCTCAGTTACAACAGATTTGTATAAAACATTTACTATTCATTTTTATAAAATGAAGGGCAGACGGACTATTTCACACGAAAAGTACATTTAAAATTATTTATTTAAATCAATGACGTAGATTGTAAGCAGAAATTTTATGGAAAGATTTAAATTTAAGTTACACTCATTCCAAAGAATGCGGTACTATGGCCACGTCCAACGGTCAGTATACTACGCAAGCGCGGGAAATTAGCGGGAATGCAAATTCAAAAATTCAAATGAAAAGACTATTCACATGTCCAAAATATTATTGATTATAATTTAATCGAGGATTATATTTTACCACTTTATATATACAAAAAGTAATTAGATCATTCGTATTAATTAATGTTACCAACAAGTTATTGTTTTACTTTTGGCTGATATTTACGGCGTTGAATGATTATCAATAAATATCCGGAAGTTCTCCATATTTGAATGAATTAGACTAATAGTCCACGTTACGTGATCAAATTAAAGTTCATGATATTATATCACGGTCCTTGAATGGGTCATAAAATACATATATTAGGATCGTACTTTGCACAGGTATATTAATGAAATTACAGCCAACATAATATTCAGTTGTAGTTAACTTTTTGTTTAAGATTGTAATTTCAAAATGAATTTGTTCATTGTTTTACTGTTTATTTTAAGTCGTTTTTCTGACGCTCAAATTGTTCAATTAGGAGAATGTCCAGATGTAGAAACTGTAATTGATTTCATACCATCGAAGGTTTATAACTTAATGAAACTTATAATTATTTGTTTATTCCCTTTTTATTCATGTTCTAGTACCTCGGTGTGTGGTATGAAAACAGAAAATATCCAGCAATTTTTGAATTAGGAGGCAAATGTATCTCATCACTCTATACTGCTGAATCTGAAGACACAATAGGAGTAGAAAACATGCAAAAAAATATTTTGTGAGTTTTTAAATAACAGCGCTGGATTGGATTACAAAATTCGTAATTACATATATATCTTTTTTGTACTTAGAACTGGCAAATACAACGTTATCAATGGCAATGCAACAATACACGGAGATGCAAAAGATGGAAAATTAATTGTAACGCTTCCTTCAGGTAAAAAAAATATATTTTTCTTAAAATGCAATAGATATTAGTACCTATAGTAGAATCCGTTTATAATGACATCGCAGGGAAATGACAAACACGTCATATGATTTCTTGAAAATCAGTCACAATAAACGATATGCCATTTTAAACGGAGTCATTATATCCAAACTTTCCTATAGAGAATTTAATATGAAAACCAAACTTAACACTGCAATTACTTCATGTTAAACAGTTGGTCAATATAGGCGGAGTCATAATAAACGAATTCGGTTGTATATGAATATCACGTAGAAACTCAACTCAACCATTCAAAAAAGATATTTTTAATGCACGATATCGATCTTTAAAAAAATATACTTATTTCTTTTCGATTCTGTGGTAACCATCGGATAAGTAGTCAAAAATTAATATTATCAATCAAAAATCGAATGAACAGCTTTGCATTGGATAAAAGTAATTAAATATGAAAGTATATCCGCAAATTTTCAAAGAATACGTTATTTATTTCATACACTAATATTTTCAAGTTAAACGCGGCGTATGAAATTACAAATTGAAATGTTTGGACCCGTTTGGGAATTTGTAATTTAACGTCAATAATGACAACAGTAATAATTAATAATTATCTCGTGGTCTAGGTATCGTTCGGATCGAAACAAAATTAACATAGTTCTTGAACTATTTAACAGCTTTTAGATACATTCACTATTAAAAAATACTCATGGTTGAAATAATCTAGAGCTAAAAGTTTTCCTACTTACAATTAGTGCGTTTATGTTTTCCCCGTAATTTGTCCGATAATATAATTAATCTGATTTCTTATAATATACCGTTATTACAGACATTGGAAACATACGTAAGTAGCATTCATATGCAATGGGCTATTTTGTTGTTACTATTTAGGTATTTGAAGCAGAAAATGTAAAATTGTTTTGAAAAATGCATTCGAAATATAACACGTAAATTAGGCATTTTTTAAACATGTTGTGGGTAGTTAAAAAAAATAACGCATGTAATTGAATAATAAAAAAGTTTGTTGAACAGATAAGGCTTTCAACTCTTGTAATCTAATAATCACCAAATAGTATAAAACAAAGTCGCTTTCCCGCTGTCTGTCCCTATGTATGCTTAAATCATTAAAATCATTTTGATGCGGTTTTTTTAAAAGATAGAGTGATTCAAGAGGAAGGTTTATATGTATAATACATGCATAATATAGTAGAGAAGCACTAATAATTTTAGAGGTTTCTAATGCGATGTCGTAAATGAACACATTTTTTGAGCTTACATTGCAAACGCTGGCTGAACCCTACGAGATAGATCAAAATAATATACTACAATATTGTACATCTTAAAAGGGTCTACAATAAAGTCCGCGATGGTATATGTCTATCTCTTAGGGATAACCCACAATAACCATTTTTATCCTTTACTTTTTATGAGAAATAATGACTTATTTACGAAGCGATTGTAAGCAATACGGCATTAATTCTTATCCAATTAAGTACCTTAAGTAAGTTCGTTTCATGCGAGTTGCTATGTAACGAAATCGTGCAACGCATTTCCCCGACTGTCTGCGCCTATGTATGCTTAAATCATTAAAACTACGCAACGGATTTTGATGCCGTTTTTTTTAAAAGATAGAGTGATTGAAGAGGAAGGTTTATATGTATAATACATGCATAATATAGTAGAGAAACACTGATAATTTTAGAGGTTTGTAACATGATGTCGTAAATAAACACATTTTTTTGCGCTTACATTGCAAACGCTGGCTGAACCCTACGAGATAGATCAAAATAATATACTACAGTATTGTACACTCTGAAAAGGTCTACAAAAAAGTCCGCGATGGTATATGTCTATCTCTTAGGGATAACCAACCCACAATAACCATTTTTTATCCTTTACTTTTTACGAGAATTAATGGTTTATTTACGAAGCGATTTTAAGCAATATAGCATTAATCCTTATCCAATTAAGTACTTTTGTAGATGTAATGTAGATTAATTTGGCCCTTTATAGCATGTAATTTAAATGAATATTTTCGAAGGGACATAGCGGTTGCGGCGGTACCGGCCGGTTTGTATTGTCTAATGACAAAAAAGCTATGACTGTTGTATATAAAGACATTATATAGTATTTTTACTATCATCATTGCACCCGTGCGAAGCATAGTGTACAAATAATACCATTAAACCAATTCCTCAACCCCTATCCCGGTATGTTTGTGTGTTTGAAGAAGTTTTACTTCAGTAGCGTGTTGTATAATTACACTTTGTATTTTTTTTATTAGTTTACTTATAATTTTGATTAACTGCATAGCAATTAACTACTCGCGTAATTCTAACTACGTTACAGGACACACGTGCAGAATCTGTTATATATTATTTAGATTGTATACGCAATTTCACAGGAAATAATTTAATTTAATTATCTGATATGTCACCAATTAAATAAGCCATTAGATATTGACAACGATTATTTATCGTACAAATAAGGGAGCAGTGTATCACTTATACTTTATTAACAAAGACTTTGTTTCTGTACAGCACCTTTTCCGGCACCGTATTGGATTTTGGATACCGATTATGATACTTATTCGGTAGTTTGGTCCTGTGGGGATTTGTTTTCGTTAAATGCTCGTAAGTACCTTATTAATTGCATTATTATCAATTTGTTTTTGAATTAATTACAACTGGTGTTATATCTGACATTACTTATGTGGAATCATCATCATCATAAGGTCCTCAGTCCTAAGACTGGCTGGACAAGCACCTCTATTCTTCCCTATCCACAGCCAATCTTCGCATTTCCCTAAAACTAGAAAAAAAAAAACTTTTGGGTGTTTCATTCCCACCAGTTAGTAATGCTAGTGGGCGGGCAGTCCCTCCGGACTATGCCGGAAGGTAGGGCGGAAGGCCCTCTTCAGCCTGCTTTCCGGAATCGTGGGAATGGGTGGGTGGTGGTTCGGGTGAGAAAGATGAGACGGACGAAATGAAGACAGAAGAGAGTGAAAGATTATCTGTGGAATATTACTGCCTCAGCATTTGCCTAAGTGATCCAAGGAAACCACAGAAAAACTTGGACCAAGGCAGACGGACCCGGAATCGAACCGGCGTCCTCCCGAATGCTAAGCAATGGTCTAGACCTCTAGGCCATGCCGCTCGGTTAAAACTAGAACAACCCACATCCTTATCTGTTTGCGAACAGTAATCTAATCTAAATCTACCTCTGCTCTTTTTAACTCCTGCTTCTACCTATGATATATCTCTGACAAGACCTTCATGTTTTAGAAGGTGTCCTAACAACCAATCTCGCTTATTTCTTATTGACTTCATTCTCATATTCCTTGTTGTAACCTTTTCTTTTCCGCGGCGCCTACCGTCCATGGTTCGCACCCTTGCATCGCCGCTCTCCAGACATACATCTTTAACAATCTTTTTCGAATTTATAAATTAACCGTCTTCGAGCACAGAAGTGACTTCCTTTTATTGAAAACGACTCCTGTGCTATTCTTTGTTTGTATCTCTACTGCTTCTTCCATCCTGAGTTATCTAACTTCCTAGATATCTAAAATCAGTCACTTCTTCTAATTTTTCGTCTCCTATCATACCAGTGTTTTTGTTTTACTTTTATTTATTTTCATACAAGACTGTTTTGTCAATACTGCAGATTACAAGATTGTACTCGATTAAAATCGTATGGATGTAATAAACTTGTCAAAATATTAGCAAAGGAAAAGCAGCGTTAATTAACATTTTCTGTTTAATTTTTAACTGAATTATTTAGCCTGTTGGATGCTGCAATTCTAAATTCTCATGGAATGCTCTAATTATTTTCTTGGGTGTAAATAAATGATAAAGCGCATCCGTTTTACTTCCCATTTCTATAAATTGTTTTTGTTTAATCAACCTTGACATTATTTATGCTGGCTTTTGGTTAATTACTGTTACTTACAACAGTTTCTAAAATTTCTGCGTCATCATAAGAACGAGCGCTCAATAATATAATTACAGGTAAATTTGAGTTAAAATAATTTTCCTCAAATAATTAGTTATAGTAATTATTGCTGAACAATTGCTTTCTTCTCGCGAAATTATACAACTCTAGAAAATTCTTGTTG